CGGGCCCAGAGGTGCTGCAGCTGCCCCCTGCTGGCTCAGTGATGCAGTGACAGCTGAGAACAGTTGTCTGTTCCTTGCATCAACCTGCTCCCTTCCAGCCACCAACCCTTTCTAATGTTTTCAGCCTGAATCAGGGAGGATTTTTTTAAACCATTGTATCCTCACTGACTGCAGAGACTGTTACTACTTGGAGAGTCTCACTTGCATGGTGTCCACCTGTGGGGAGAAGTGTGTCTGACGAGGGTGCTGTATCTGTGTGGAGGGGTGGGGGCTCTGAAGGCAAGGTATGTGCACAAACCTGAGGTGATGAATTTGAAAGGTGACCCTGTGGGACTGTGTTTATTTTATTTTATTTTTTTAATGAATTATTTTATTTTATATAATTCTTACATCATTTTTCTTTTTTGCATAATGTATGCATTTTCATTTTGGTTATATTCCCCATACAATTCCCACCCCCTTTTTCTGACCCTAATCCCTCTTCTCCTCTCCCCACCCCCCACTATAGTGTGTCTCTGGTCTATAGTTGCTTGTTGATTTGTGTTTATTTTAAAGAGATGCAGGGCTTCAGGTTAAGACACAACCTGTGAAGCTATCCACAGCCACTGCAACACAAGTTCTATCCCCGGCCAGGGAGCTACACACGTGGCGCAGCAGACCTCTCCTGACTCACCCTCTGCTCCCCTCAGCAGTGTATTTCAGTCAGTCTGCCTGTTCTGTTCCCCACTCTGTCTCTGGTGAACCCTCTCACCCCCCCACCCCCGTCACACCTCTGGTATGTATCCCAGTGCTTGTATGCATAAATAAATAAATCTTTAAAAAAAAAAAAAAGAGTGAGATGTATGTGTGTGGTTGTTACACCTCAGGTGTCCTAGGATCACCAGTTCAGCAACCTCAGAACTGAAACCTGAACATTGAAAATAAAGGCGGGGTGGGGGGGCCTCCCCTGGTGGCGCAGCGGTTGAGCGCTGGGCTGCAAAGCTGCCCGCAGCCTCTGCAGCACCAGTTCGATCCCCGGCCTCTGGGTGAGGGTCCCACATGGCGCGCAGACCTCTCCTGCCACCCGCTGCTCCCCTCAGCAGTGTACTTCGGTCCTTCTGCCTGTTCTGCTCCCCGCTCTGGCTCTGGTGAATTCTCTCGCCCTTGCGTGCTTCTGACTGTACCCAGTGCATGTATAAATAAATAAATCTTTTTTAAAAAAAAGAAAAGAAAAGAAAGGGGCAAGCCTCCCTGGTGGCGCAAGAGGTCAAGCATCGCACTATGAAGCAATCCACAGCCTCTGCAGCACAAGCTCAATCCCCAGGTGGCCAGGGAGCAACCCACATGGTGCAGCAGACCTCTCCTGTCTCGCCCGCTGCTCCTCTCAGCAGTGTACTTTGGTCAGTCTGCCTGTTCTGCTCCCCACTGTCTCTGGTGAATCCTCTCACCCCCTCATCTCTGGCCTGTACCCCAGCTCTTGTATGCATAAATAAATCTTTGGGGAAAAAAAGAAAAGAAAGGGGACTCATGGGTGGCATCTGAAGGGAAAAACAGAGGCCCTGGACCCTGGTCTCTCTATGTTAAGAAGCCTCTTTCTTAGAACCAGACCTGTCAATTCTGACAAGCTTTCTCAACCCTCAGTAGATTTGGACTGCCTGTTAGCTGGACCTGGCCTATACCCACAGGAGCAGAGATAGATGGGGATGGTAAGAAGGTACATCTGGGCCTCCCCGGTGGCGCAGCGGTTGAGCGCTGGGTTGCGAAACTGCCCGCAGCTTCTACAGTGCCGGTTTGATCCCCGGCCACCGGGTGAGGGTCCCGTATGGCGCCCAGACCTCTCCTGCCACCTGCTGCTCCTCTCAGCAGTATACTTGGTCACTCTGCCTGTTCTGCTCTCCGCTCTGGCTCTGGTGAATTCTCTCACCCTCCGGCGCTTCTGACTGTACCCAGTGCTTGTATAGATAAATAAATAAATCTTTAAAAAAAAAAAAGAAGGTACATCTGGCAAGAAGGAAGGGGGCTGGGAAACTCCAGCAGTCAGCTCAAGAAATTGAAAAGCCAACATCAAGACCAGTGGGTGGAGGGGTGGAGGTTCCTGACAGCTGTTGGTTCTGATAGATCAAACCTCTTATTAGGGGGCCATTGATGTTAAAGGACCACAGAGAGAGGGTATCTGGTCATGGAGCAGAGCTATTCCTTGGACCAGGCAGAGACACAGCCAGGCTAAACTTCCTCAAAAAAACATGTGGACAAAACTGTGGCCTCCAGTGCCTCCTTTCTGACTTTCACACCTATGCCTTTGATTTTTTTGCTTGGAGTAAGGTAAGGATTCTGATTTACATTTTTCTGTGTGGGGAACCTGAGTGCCCACACCATTTATCATTAGTCCACTGCAAAGAAAATCTCCTGTGTTTCTCCTATACTGCTTACACAGAATACCTGATGCCATTTGTGTGGGTTTTTTCCTACACCAAGCAATTTTCCAATTCTCTTTGGACACCAACTGATGTCTTAAAATTCTATTAAATTCTTTTTTTTTTAAAGATTTATTTATTTATGCGTACAAGAGCTGGGGTGTAGGCCAGAGGTGCAGGGGCTGAGAGGATTCACCAGAGACAGAGTGGGGAACAGGGCAGGCAGATCGACTGAAATGCACTGTGGGCAAGTCAGGAGAGGTCTGCTACGCCATGTGGGTCACCTCCCTGGCCAGGGATCGAACTCATGCTGCAGTAGATGCGGATTGCTTCATAGTGCTGATGCTTAACACCTTGTGCCACCGGGGAGGCCCAAATTCGATAAAATTCTGACATACCCAGAGTTAGCACAGATCCCACAGATCAAGGACTCAATCCCACGAGACTGGTCCCCACTTCAGATGCAATCATAAGTCGTGCGTCCCCCTAGCTTACCCACAAGTTTTGTCCAAGTTGGCTACAAATTGGAGGTTTGTGCTAGGACCACGCTGACTACAGAATAATAAAGTTGGTGCAAGCCCTCCCAGCACACTCTTCTCTGGGGCTATATCTTTTCTCTGTAGACTTTAGAATCAACTTGCCAAAGTTCCTTGAAAAAATTCCCAGTTAGCAATAGTATTGGATTTAATTATACATTAAATTTATAGGTCAATTTAGAGGAAAATGGACATCTCCCTGAATATCGCTTCATCCCCTTTTGTGTTAATCTTTCTGGAAATCCTTAATTCACAAAGTTAGACCATCTGAAGTTCAACTTTTATATTTTTCATTTCTAGAAGTTCTGTATGATTCTTCACGTCTCTTATTCCCTGCTCATATTTTTAAGGCTCTCTTCTTTCTTAAACTTTACGTGTCATAGTCTGTGTTTGATAAATCCCTTTCTGAAGGCTTTGTGAGTCATATTCTGTCTGCTGTTTTTATTGGCTCAGTGTCTTAGTCCCTTGTTGTCTTTAAAAAAAAAAAAAACTATAACATTATTATTTATTTTCCTTGAAACTTTACCTTGGGAATTCTCAGAAGCCTGGTTTGAAGTTATTTCCCTACAAAGAGTATTTGCATTTGTATTTGCATATCCTTCTGCTGGCCCAGGAATACTTTAATTGTCTGGCTGGACACTTTCCAGCCTGTATAGTAGTGACAGACCCACAGGAGGTTGATGGCAGGTTCAGTCTGACCTGAAGTAGAACTCTCACTCTGTCATGTACTGTGTGATCTCGGTCAGACAAGTCACTTCACCTCTCTGTGCCTGTCCCAGCATCTGTGAGGCAGTGATAATAACACCTCCCTCCTCAGCCAATGGCGAAGATGAAATGGGATAATGGACATAAGTAAAACGCTCCCATGGATCTCCGTCACACAGTGGTAGGCAGCAAAGGTCATCTCTTCCCTTGAGGAGCCGCCCTCTTGCCCCAACCTGTGGGGTCAGCTTGGTGGCCCTCCCCAGCAGTAGTTCTGCCTAAGGATATGAGTGATAGTGGGAACATCAGGCTTGAGCCTGTGCGTGATTCTGCTTTCAGCTTTGGGATGAGCCTTTGAGAGACGCTTCTATCCCCTGTCTTGATCCTATCCTAGGGTTGTCCTGGAGGTGACTTGGGGTGGGGTAAGAACAAAAATGACTGTTAACAGAATTGTTTTCTTCTTCAGCTGCTGCAGGGATTTTTTTGTTGGCAGTGGTAGGTTATGGTTTTTTGTTTTTTGTTTTTAAATTCTTTGTAGCTATATGGTAGAACATTAGTAATAAGACATGACAGTTTATAATTTTTAGTGATGGGAATGTACAATAACAGTAATATAGGTGTGGAATAAACTGAAAGGTGTACATTGACATGAAAATATTTTAAGTCCTTTTTGAAAAACAAGGAATAGAAAGAAATTTAATAATATGAACTCAACTATATTAAGAAAAAAATGGGGAAAAGGAAGTTGGAAGGAAATGTGTCTACAAGTCTACTACAAAGTCTACTCCTGAGCGGTGGTGTGCTTAGTGCTTCCCCCAGTGACAGCAGCAGTCGGAGGGTGCAGACAGCAGTCGGAGGGTGGTCTTTGTACAGTCGCACATTAAATTGCTTCCTGTGTGGTTTTAGACATGTGATACACTCTCTGGGGTCTTAGTTTTCCTATTTGTTGTGTTGCTTTGAGGATCGAATAAACAATGGGGCTAATGCGCCTCGCCTGTAATCTGGCACAAGCTGGCTCTGTAAATGGTGATGGAAGTTATTGCACATCTGTGTTCTTTCTAGCTTTTTTAATACTGAACATGCACTACTTTCTAATAATAAAAAAAAAAAACTAAAGCATCAACAGTAATAACAGACAGTCTGTGCTTTGCTGACAAAAATATATTGCATCCCCAGGTTCGGTGTGTGCAGTTTCCAGGCTATTCCTTGACTTCAGGGAAGGTCCCAGAGACTTAAGTACTCAGGAGCCGCTACAGTGGGTGCCTGGCAGGCTAGGTCCTAGCCAGGGAGCAGAGGGCCTGGGCAAAGGGCAGACTGAAGCTGCTTGTGGTTTTGGAGGTGCTGAGACTCTCCCTTCTGTCCCGCCCAGGACGCAACGAGCCCTTGAAGAAGGAGCGGCTGAAGTGGAAGAGCGACTACCCCATGACTGATGGGCAGCTGCGGAGCAAACGGGATGAGTTCTGGGACACAGCACCTGCCTTTGAGGGCCGCAAGGAGATCTGGGATGCCCTCAAGGCCGCTGCGTATGCGGCCGAGGCTAATGACCATGAACTGGCTCAGGCCATCCTGGATGGAGCCAGCATCACCCTGCCTCATGGTGAGCAGACTGGGCTTTCTCCTGGAGCGCAGGTGTCAGCCAGGGACCTGACCCAAGTCTCTGTCCAAGCCAGTGGGTGGGGGTGTGGCTAGTCACTAGTTCATTCACGGAGACCTTAACGGCAGGGAGCAGGAGTGGGGACACAAAGAAAAATGAGACACGGTGCCAGCTTGCCTAATGAGGGGATGGAAGGACACCAACAAACCTCAAAGCAATGTGATGAGAGCAAGCTATGGATGCCTCAGGGAGCTTGGGACCCCAGGACTTCTATTGGCTGTCACTGTGTGCTCGACACTGAGCTAGAAGTTTGTAGCAGCCTGTGGGGCTATGTAAAGCCAAGGGTAACAGGAACTGTAGAGTCAGCGACTGGAGTTTAACAGGAACATCTGTTTCCTAGCTTTATGACCTTGAGCGTGGAACATCTCAGAGTTAAAACCTCGGGGTCTTACAGCTTTTGTAAAGTGGGGATACCTACCTATAGGATGGTTGTTAGGATTCAAGAAGACAGGCATAACATCATTTAGTTCAGTCCCAGCGCCTGGTAAACCTGTTTCCCCATGTGTTACATTGTACGAGTATGGGAATTGAGGCCCACTAGGGTATAAACCTCTAAGAACAGGGCCTGTTACTTCCTTCATCCTTGTAACTCCAGCACCCAGCATATATAGTGAATGAAGAAATGCAAAGGTAAATAATTTGCCAGGGTTGAATGGCCCGCACCTGGTGGAGCCAGAATGCTAACCCAGATCTTCTTGACTCTGACTTAAATTCCTCCCAGCTGGCCCAGCGACACCTGATGGTAGGAGGTAGGTAGGACTGTGGGGTCCTCACCACAGGCCTACTTGAGCTGCTGTCACAAAATACTGTAGCCCGGGTGACTTACTAATCAACAAAAATTTATTCTTCATAGTTCTGGAGGCTGGGAAGCCCGAGATCAAGGTGTCAGCTGATTGGGATTTTGGTGAGAGCCCTCCTTGGCTTGTAAATGGCTCCCTACCTGCTGTTATCACATGGTGGAAAGAAAAAGCTTTCTGGTATTTCTGCCTATAAGGACACTAATCCTGTTGCCTCAAGGCCCCACCCATATGACCTCATTTAGCCTGAATTATTCTCAGTAGGCCTCTATTTCCAAATACAGTGACGTTGGGGATTGGGGCTTCAACATACAAATTTGGGGGAGACAATCCAGGCCATAACAGTGTGTCCCAAGCTGACTCTGACCACCCTGCCTTTCCCGCAGGCACCCTCTGTGAATGCTATGATGAGCTGGGGAATCGCTACCAGCTGCCCATCTACTGCCTGTCGCCCCCTGTGAACCTGCTGCTGGAGCACACCGAGGAGGAGAGCCTGGAGCCCCCCGAGCCTACGCCCAGTGTGCGCCGCGAGTTCCCGCTGAAGGTGCGCCTCTCCACAGGCAAGGACGTGAGGCTCAGTGCCAGCCTGCCTGACACAGTGGGGCAGCTCAAGAGGCAGCTGCACACCCAGGAGGGCATCGAGCCATCCTGGCAGCGATGGTTCTTCTCTGGGAAGCTGCTCACAGACCGCACACGGCTCCAGGAAACGAAGATCCAGAAAGATTTTGTCATCCAGGTCATCATCAATCAGCCCCCGCCACCCCAGGACTGAAGAGCCCATGGACCCCTGGGAAGAGAGGCCAGGGAGGGGCTCTGCAGGGCTGAGAGACCTCCTGGCCAGAGCACTAACCCCCACCCTGCTGCTGCCTTCGAGTGCTGTTTTTTTCTTCAGGGGCACTTCCCTGCTATATGGCTGCTGGAGAGCCGTGAAGGGACCTGCCTCCCAGGGGCACCGTGGGCCAGTGGTGCCCAGCACCCAGGACGCAGTGCTGCCACACACAGGCCTTGCCAACCTTGTCAGAGAAAAGGCGAACTAGGGCCTTCCACCCTGCCTTGCCATGGCAGGTTCGAGCCATGAGGGCCAGCCCGGAGGCCCCTGGAGCCCAGATCTGTCATCTGGTGCTGCCAGCTGTGCTCACTCCGGTTTTCTGCTCAGGGTCTGAAGCAGCTGCTGTCTCCCTCTCCTCCCCCCAGCCCCTGACTCTGCCCTGGGCACCGTGCCAGTCCTCCAGTGGGGAGGGGACCGCTGGCTAACCCCGGGGCTAGGGAGCCCGAGGCCGGCCTCTGCCTCTCCCTGCCCCCAGCACAATTGGCAGAGATGAGGTGGGTGGCCAGATGGTGGGGCTGCTGTGGCAGGGATCTGCTCAGGGCCATCTCCTGGCTGTGACCCTGTTGGTGGAGGGTCTGCAGCCTGGTCATGGCCCCACAGCAGGTCCCTGTGTACAGACATATCTGCATATTTATCAATAAAGCCTTTTGCTCCTTCCTTGTCTCTTGCCTGCTTTGAATCTGAATTCTCCTGCAGCTCTGTGGTGTAGCGGCAGGAGGGGAGATGAGGCCCCTGGCTTCTCTGGGCAAAGCAGTGAAGCAAGCCTTGAACTGTTAGTCTTCCAGGCCCTATGTTCTCAGGAGTCCTCAGAAAAACCACTTAACCCCTGACCCCACTCTTCTTATCTTCTAAGTGGGGGTGATGCTACTGCCTTGTCACCTTCCTCAGTTGCTGAGATTAAATGGGGTAACTGATGTGAAAGTGCTGTGAAAGCAAAGGCAGCGTGTCGGGAAGCTCTTGGTAGTCACGTGCTTTTGTGCTCCTGCAGCAGGACGGTGCTGGCCTCTAGCTCCTGCCTGTGACCCAAGCCCTTGGGATTGAGGTATATACTGGAAATCCTAGAGACACTGCTCCTTTGTGAATTGAAAGCCAAACCTTTCACAAATTAGATTATGAGCCTGTGACAGCACAGGAACCAGAGAGAAGGAGCGGTTTCTGAACTGGCCAGTGCATATAAGCAGAGAGGGAAATTCTTAAAACTACTCTTGATCTTAGCCAAAGGCCGAGGGGAATCTTAGAGAAGATGGTTCAGCAAGGGCAGGCAGTATGAACATTAGAAAACTGTAGCGGTCTGGTGTCAGGTTAAATCTGGGTCGCGATGACCCAGGGTTGGCTCCCACACTTCTAGGTGGGAAGTACAGGCCTGCTTTTTCTCCAGTTGGGAGTTTTTCTTTCTCAGTGAGCAAGGCTGCACCAGCAGGGTGACCTGACAGGGAAACTGGGAAGGAAAGGATGATCTGGGTTTGGTACTGCACTCTGGCCCTTCCAGTGGCTTCCTGAGCTTCTTGAAGCAGGCTCTGAAATAGCAAGCAGAGGGACCCCCCACCCCCAATTACCCTGAGGCAGTGAAGATGCAGGCTTGGGTGAGCTTTGCCTGGAACTAGTGGCCAGGCAGCCAAATGCACTGATGTCCACTAGGGGCTGCTGTGGTACCTCAGAGAGGCAAGGGCCTATGTGTGCTGTGGGCAGAGGAGCAGCTGCCCTTTCTCCCACTCACTGCCCTGGCGCTCCAGCCTGGAGAGGCAGTCAACCCCTCCCCAAGCAGGCAGAGCATGTTCACAGGACAGCCTAGGGGGCTCAGGCCTATCTTGGTGTGTCCACATTTGACTGTCAAATCCTTTTGGGAACACAGGCTGGGCACTGTCTCCAATCGTCCAGCAGGTGGCACTGCATCATGGCTCGGGGTAACCAGTGGGTCCTTGGTGCCTCTGGGCTGATTGGGATAAGGTCCAGGTAGCCCCAAGTACTAAGAACTGAGGATCCTGCCTATAGCCTACTCTTGGGGCACTGTGCCGTCCAGTTCTAATGAGCCAGGAGTTGGGAGGGCAGCTCCTCCAATCCCCCCCACTTCTCCCAAGGCTGCTCAGGGTGAAGGTGATAGGTGGGGAAGGCAGGTGGAGAATTGGGCCCGTGACCTCATTGCAAAGGCGCCTGGGCGGGAGGGGGGGGGTACCCTGGCCTATAAAGCCCCCGAGGCTCTGTGGCTGGCAGAGGCTGATTACACACGGCACCATGGCAGCTTCAGAGGCTGTGCAGAGAGCCACGGAGCTTATTGAGCAGCGGCTGGCGCAGGAGGAGGAGAATGAGGTATGGGCAGGGGTGTGTTGGCCCAAGGGGGTTCTGAGGAGACCCAGTTCTGCTATCAAGGTGAGGCAGAACCTGGCTGCTGCACCTGTGGTGGTGAGGGGACAGGCGCTCCCAAGGGCCCAGCTGACTATTCCTGCCCCAGGGTGCTCCTGGTGGAGGAGCTGGCTGGCGGTGGGAGGTTGTACCTTCAGCCCCAAGAATTGAGAGACAGTGGGGTGAGCAAGTCAAGCTGGTCTCCCCGAGACCCTGCCCACCTACCTGACCTTCAAGGAGATGGGTGAGGCTTCACAGAGTGAGACAGCACTGCCTGGACATTCAGAGATGTGAGGCTCTGAGCTTCCCCAGCTTTGGTGAAAGTTATTCTGCAGGCAGTGGGGAGCCACTGAACATTTTTCCTGAGGGAGAGTGGGAAAACAGCTCTGACATCCCTGCTAAGGATTGGAGGGGGAAAGATGGGCCCTAACAGGCATGACAGAGAGTGACTTGTGCATGAGTTTATAGCTGACTCCAGAGGGACTGAAGGAGAATGAGGCAGAGGGAAGGAGCAGGATCCAGTGGAAGGAGCAATGAGGACTGGGGAAGGGAGGGCAGATTTGTCAGAATGTGAACTGAGTCTGCTGAGTCCTGACCAGGGTATCCCTGGATCTCCAGGAATGCTACTTCTCACTCCCCCAAGGGCTTGTGCATGCAGGCTGGCAGTGCCAGGCAGGTGAGTCATGCTGCTGTGCCATTCCTGGAGTGCTGCCACTGGACACAGGGACTTTCAGCAAGAGGACCCTGAAGGCCTCATCCATTCATTCATCCAGCAAATATAGCAGCAGGGTTGTCAGGAGAGCTGGTGCTCCCAGAGCCAGCCTGCCCACGGAGCATCTCCTTGGCGCCGGGCACTGTGCTAAGGGTCCTATGGGCATTCTCATCTAATCTGTACCACAATCTACAAAGCAACATGGGAGTTTTATTTTGTTGTGTTTCAGTCATAGCAGCCAATTCAATCAACATTTATTGAGCACCTAGTCTGCAACAACATATCTGTAGCAGGGGCTAGAGCATTTGGCTAAGATAATGACTAGATATTAGGGTTCCCATTGTTTTCAGCAGGATCCTCGGTGAAGAGCCTCTGGCCAGCCTGTTCTCCTTTTTTGGGGTGCAAAGGGAAGCCCCCAAGGCCATTCCAGGACTAGGACTCTGTTGTGAAGTGCTTACTGGGTCAGGTCATCACTGAGGACTGAGGAGTGGGCAGAGAAGCTGAGCCTGCCTGCCATTACTCATTCACTCATTCATTAATTCTACATTCTAAGAGCACCCAGTGCATACTAGGCCCTGTCATAGGGATAAGATGACAAGGCCCAAGCCACCCTCTGCATGCTCCTTGAGGAGCCTGGCCAGGGTGGCACACTTGGTAGTAGCCACAGCCCATGTCATCCCTTGTCCCCGGAAGAAGATAAAGCATATCAGGTAAGACCAGTGCAAGGGGACCTCAAACCATATAAACCTGAGCGGAGAAGGTGCCAGTGGGCCACACGACCTCCCATATGCAGACCTGGGAATCAATCCTCAAAGCTAGCTTTGAAGAGCATCACCATGGAACTCAATGAGAAATGCAAAAGGCAGCTGAGTGCTCCTTACTGGGTGTCACTCCTCCCTACCTGCCATCTTGACCTGGCAACCTCCAACCTGGGCGAATGTTCCTGACATGTGGGAACAAGAGAGTGGGTGCTAGTACTTCCCAGAGAGTCCTTTCCTTTAAAGTGAAGGGAGTCCAGGAAAATCAGAGCTAAAAATGGAGAGACTTGGAAGGAGTCCACCCACACTGTTGCAACGAGGATAAGGGCAGAGTCCACTTCCAGCTGCAAGCTGGGAGCCATGGCCCCCGTCCCTGAGAGTTCCTGAGAGCGATGGTTTCCATGCTCTAGGATTTCAGTGGAATCTAAGGGGGAAAATGTGCTGCTACTGACAGTCACCAAGTTTTTGTATTGCCAAGCGAGCCCATTTGAAAAGTAGCCATCATCTCTTAATCGCAATTACTTCATCAAAGTGATTTTTTCATGCCAGAAAGAAAAAAAAAAAAGTTGTGCTTGAGAAAGTGAGTATGATGAAAATTCACTCCGGTCCCCCTTTATCCTGGGAGGAGACTGGTGTTTGCTCCCGAGTCAGAGTTGAGCCTGAGGTGGGCCCTGTTCTGGGCCAGTCAGGAACAGGGCAGGAGGAAGGCCTGTGGTCACGCAGAAGGAGTCTTTGGGGGTGTCCTTGGAGAGATGAGAGGCTACCTGCCTCCCCCAGGCCTGTGGGCAGGCCCCCTCCAGCATGTCTTCTCCACTCACCAGAAGCTCCAAGGAGCTGCCTGCCAGAAGGTGGCCATGGACATGCTGGTGCTGGAGGATGAGAAGCAGCACGGGGCACAGAGTCTCGCCTTACACCAGGTTAAGGTAAGTTCCTGGAGACCCCATGTCTGTGCTCAGGAAGGAGCCAGGGGGTGATGGTCTCCCTCCTTCCAGTGTCTGTGAAATAAAGTGCCGCCACCCACACTGGACACATGCACACCAGCATTTTAGCAATACCAAATCTGGGCCCCACCTTGACCTGCTCAATCAGAATCTGCACATGCAGAAGACCTTATGGTTCTCCCTTGGGAAGCCAGATGATGGACAGCCATGCAGCAGAGCAGGTGCAGGTGTTACGGGCTGAGGGAGGCTGTGCCTGCTGACAGGAGAGAGCTCCAGGCAGGTAAGAGACCCCTGTGTGGAGGGTGATCTCACAGGACATGTGGCTGGAAGGGGACATGTGGAATCAGAGCAAGAGTTACCTCCTGGGGGGAAGGGCTTTCTCTTCAAAATGTCTATGCGTCTGTATTACTTAATAAATATTAATTGTATATAACTTTTAAGATCACACACAAAAATGGACAACTGAGGGTTCAGACCCTGTTCTTCAGGCTTGGGCTAAGAACTGCCTCTGAGATTCCCTCACCAACTCCCCACCCTGCCGGACGCCTCCATCGGCCTCTCCCTCCATCTGAGCTATCTGTGTCCCTCCTCACCAGCTTCTCCTAGACCCACGAGTGCTAGGTTCACACTCCCTTGAGAAGGTCTCCTTATCCTCCCCTTCCAGCTGACTCAGGGGACCCCCAGGCTCCCCAAACTCTGCGCCAGCACCGGGGGCTGATGCGTCCTCTCCACCAGGGCCAAGAGCGGGTGCGCAAGACGTCCCTGGACCTGCGGAGGGAGATCATCGACGTGGGTGGGATCCAAAACCTCATCGAGCTGCGGAAGAAGCGCAAGCAGAAGAAGCGGGAGGCCTTGGCTGCCGCCCAGGAGCCGCCCGCTGAGCCCGAGGAGATCGTAAGTGTCCTGGGGGAACACGTGCGTGGCCAAGGTGGTCTGGGTGCCTGCGGCACAGCCTCGCTCCTGCATGCTCGCCCTGCAGGCTGGCCCCGTGGACGAGGAGATGTTCCTGAAAGCGGCAGTGGAGGGGAAGCTGAAGGTCGTGGAGAAGTTCCTGGCCGATGGGGGTCCCGTGGACACCTGTGATCAGGTGACGTTCCCACCCCGCCTGCTTCTCCACCTGTCCACCTCTCACCCTCACGCACCCACCTGTGGGCCTGTGCAAGAAAAGGCATTGGTGTCCTACAGAAAAGGGGCCTTGGAAGATTTTGGGGTGCTCCCTGTCCCACATAGAAGTTTTGCTAAATCCTTTGACACTTTTCAACTTGAGCCACGCAGAGTAACAAATGTTACATGGTTTTCTCAAGGAAGAAAGAAGAGAGAACAAATCCACAAAGTCCAAAACCAAGAGTTTGGGGCTCCAACCTCATCTCTGTCACCTCTCAGCCATGTGACGATGACCAGGCCTGTCCCTATTCCTGACCTCAGTTTTCTCCTCTGTGAAAAGGCCTACTCCCCTCACTGCATGTTATGGGGGGCAAATGGAACATTAATGCCTTGACAGGTTTTACTGAATGAAAGAAAAATCCCTATAAAACACATATTATTAGGACGTTATATTTTTGTGCACAATGGTACATGTAATACTTTCTTTTAAAAGTTATTTTTATTTTATTGTGGTAAAATATAGGTAACACAAAATAAGGCATTTAAAATATTTTAGTGCAGATTCAGCAGCATTAATTATACTCGGAATGTTGTACAACAATCCCCATTATCTATTTTCAAAACAGTTTGGTCCCGTTATATTTCTTTTGATTTTCCTCCACCACACTTTCTAGAGCTCTTCTTGCATCCTGGGATTCAGCAAATCAAGGTCACCTCTTCAGAGTGTGCATTGTCGTAGGGTCAGACTGCATATCCTTTCCATTCTTAGACTCCAGGACCTACTCAAGCACCTCTTGCCCCCAAGCACTGTGCCCAGGGCACGAGAAGACTAAGGCAGGTCTCCCTAGAGCGAGAAGGAGCTGGCAGAACACAAACAATATGGGAACCCAGGGCAGGGGTCAGAATCCAGGCCTGGGTCTCAGCGTGGGTGGAAGATGAGCTTAAGCCTGGGACCAGAGGCCTTGACAGTCTCTCTGGGGGCAGTTCCGCAGGACAGCCCTGCACCGAGCTTCCCTGGAGGGCCACATGGAGATCCTGGAGAAGCTCCTGGAGAGTGGGGCCACTGTGGACTTCCAGGACAGGGTGAGCAAGGGGACAGGTATTGGGTGGGAGGCTGGAGGTGGGATCAAGACTCCCTCTCTGGGGGCCTCCCCTGGTGGCGCAGCGGTTCAGCGCTGGGCTGCAAGGCCGGTTAGTTCCGGCCGCCGAGGAGGGTCCCACAAAAAAAAAAAAAAAAAAAAAAAGACTCCCTCTCTGGGCCACAACCCTGGAACCTAACAAGTTGCCTCGGGAGCAGCCCCGCCTCTAGCGGGTTGTATGATCTTGGGCAGTCTCCCCGCTCCCCTTCTGTAAGCCTGGCTTGGACTGTACAAGCCACCAGGGTTCTGCTCCACTTGCTTCAATTCCCATACTCAGTAGAGCCCCTTCTCCTCCCCTGGATGTGTCCCTGCCCTTGTGACTGGAGTCCATCCCTCTGGGGCAGTTTTTTCCCCTGAAGCTGTACAGTAAGACCCCATCCTTCCCTTTTAGCTGGATTGCACAGCCATGCATTGGGCCTGCCGAGGGGGCCACTTAGAGGTGGTGAAACTCCTGCAAAGCCGAGGAGCAGACACCAACGTGAGGGATAAGGTCAGCAATAATGCTCCCAATATTGTGGTGGCTTTGGGGTTGAGGGGGGGTGGTGGGCAGAAAAACCCAGGAAGGCAGGAAGGTAGGGGGCTACTTTGGTTTCTGGAGTGGCTGCAGAGCTCAGGGACGGGTCTCTGGCATCAACTGCAGGCCCTGGGGTCACCATCTGGGATGGTTGCAGGAAGAGCAGAGGAGAGAAGAAATTCACTCTTTGGGGGCTTTGGGAGCACCCAAAAGATGCAGGATTTGTCCATCCAGGCATTCTTTCATCCTTCTGTCTATCTCTCTAGCCATCTGTCCAACCATTCATTTACTCATTCATTTATATATTCATCTATCATTTCTCTATCCATTCATTTCTTTGGTGTAACTTTGAACAAGTGACAGTCTTTGAGCCTCTGTTCAAGGAAGGGCAGAGGAAGCGAGCAGTTGCTTGCAGGTAGGGAAGAGAGGAATCAAAGAAGGCTTCTTAGAGGAGGTGTCTTATAATGCTTTAGAATTAGACCATTCAGTAGGGTAGTGGGAAATTGTAACATTTCCTGTCCCTCCAGGGCTCAGGCCTTGCCACTAGGACTGGGGGGGGGGGGATTAGGCTGGAGTCAGGACCATTTCCCTCCCTCAGTCCCTTTTCCTTCCCACCCAGCTGCTGAGCACTCCGCTGCATGTGGCGGTTCGGACGGGGCACGTGGAGGTTGTGGAGTACTTTCTATCGCTGGGCCTGGATATCAATGCCAAAGACAGAGTGAGTGTCCGCCCCCACTCCTGCCCAGCCCTACGTGGGGGGGTGGGGGCACAGGGAGGGGTGTGCAGCAGCCTGAGGGCTCCGCTGCCCACATGGGTTATGCTGACTGTCACACTGGCTCCAGGAAGGGGACAGCGCCCTGCATGATGCAGTGAGGCTCAACCGCTACAAAATCATCAAACTGCTGCTCCTGCATGGGGCTGACATGATGACCAAAAACCTGGTGAGCTGCTTTCCCCCCTGCATCAGTAACCGGTATGCATGGCTGCCTGGGCCTGGGCTGGGCTCTCAGGGGAAACACAGAAGAGAGCTGGACTCGCCTGCCCGTGGAGCTCTCTCACGGAGGAGAGTCTCTCTGGGTGCCTGGGGATTTGGGGTCTGCCACCATCCTAGGTCTCTCTATGCGGGTATATGTCAGGAGCACCAGTGCAAAGAAACAGCCAGGAGGGTCAGCAAGAGGGTCAGTAGTCAGGAAGATACAGGGAGGGTATAGAGAGGGCTTCTCAGTTCCATTATTATTGCCACTTGGGACTGGAGAATTCCTTGTGGGGGACTGGCCTGTACATTGTAGGGTGTTTAGCAGCACCTTTGGCCTCTACTCAAGATGTTGCCAGCACCCTCCCCTGAGTCGTGGCAACCACAAATACCTCCAGAAATTGTCATCTGCCCCTGCTTGGGAACCGCTGGTGTATACACATGAGGGCGTCTCCCGGTACAGACTTCTGAACAGTGACCAGATCTCCTCTTGGTTCCCCCAGGCAGGGAAGACCCCCACAGATCTGGTGCAGCTGTGGCAAGCTGACACCCGGCAAGCTCTGGAGCATCCTGAGCCAGAGGCAGAGCAGAATGGGCTGGTGGGGCCTGCTGAGAGTGGGCAGGAGACCCCCCAACCTGAGCCAGCCCAGTAAGGCCCACTCCAGGCCAGCCAGGCACCCTCCCCAGCCCCTGCATCAGCCAGAGAGACACAAGAAAGGGCCTGTGTGTGACCTGAGAGGCCCCTCCCTGCCCAGCTACTAAAATTAAAAAAAGAAGTCATTTTCAAAGAAGTCATTTTCACTATTTGTGTTTGTTTTCATTTGTGACTGAAATATTTAGGATTGAAGGGTGGGTGGACCAAGGGTGGGTGGACCAAGGGTGGGTGGGCCAAGGGTGGGTGGGCCCCAGCAGGAGGGAAACTTGGAGCCCTCTGGTTGCTTTACCCTTGCTTCTTCCCCACCGCCCCTCCTCCCCAACCCCCAGCGTGGATCAGCTTCTCCAAGCACTCCAGGGACTCATCCTGAGCCCGGCTCCCTCATGTGGCGGGCACAGGCCTGTCAAGTGACAGCCTTGGCAGGAGGAGTCTGGCAGGGGGCGAGGCAGCTGAGGGGAGGCCATCACAGGCCGAGGTGCAGCTCCTCCCACAGGGCAGAGCTGGCTCAGCCAATGGGCTCCACCAGTCGCACAAGCACAACAGCCATGCGGAAGCTGGTGGGCTCCTGGCTGGGAATCGCGGGAGGAAGGAGGAAGGCCCAGGTCCCACTGGAGATCCCTTTAGTGTTGGTATCCCAGGAGTCAGCTTTCCATCTGGTCAGAGGGACCCTGGGTTGCGGCACATATCCGGCTGCTTCCCAAGTGGAGGGAGGACGCCCTGGAGCCTATCAGTCTGGCCTCTGGCCCCAGGACACCTCTCCCGGGTCTGCCCCAGTGCCTAAAAGTCAGGGGGCAGCAAATTTTTAACTAGACACATTGATCATTAACAGGGGTAGGAAGGAGTCCAGACTCAGTCTCAGTTGGGGGCAGAGACCAGCTGGGCCTCAGGCCTCCTGCAGAGATGCTGGGTCCCCGAGTCTGGACATCTGTGAGGCCAGGGCTGAGTAGGGGCTTGTCCAAGAAAGTGGGGAGCCGGCCCTCAGGGGAGGGGAAGAAGGTAGACATCGCGGGCATCTACCCCCCTGTGACCACCCCCTTCACTGCCACCTCAGAGGTGGACTATGGGAAACTGGAGGAGAATCTGCACAAACTGGGCACCTTCCCTTTCCGAGGTAAGTGGGCCTGTCCATGTGAGAGTCGGGGGACAAGTGAATGACACATCTCCTCAGCCAGGGACAGAGGAGAGCACACAGGCTCTGTTGCGCTGCCCAGGGACAGCTGGACACTGGGGGGTCATTTTACTATGGGAGAGGAATAGGGGGCATTGGCTGGAGTAAGGAGACACAAAGGTAGCTCCCTGTGGCCTGTGACCTAGGACTGAATCTGCCTGCCTCAGTTTCCCCAGTTGTAAACTGTGAAAGTCCCTTAGCCCATGTCATTTTGGGCTCACAATAACAATGGGTATGAAAGTCCTTGTGGACTCTGTGCAGGTGGAAATGGCACCAGTACCCGGGTGTCCAGCCAGCTGGCTCATCTCCCTCAAAGCCTTGCTTGATTCCCTTCTGGGTGAAGAATTAATTCCTGTTCCGGATTCTCTGACTCATTTCCCCCTTTACACCTGGACCTCCCCTCTCTGAGGGCAAGGACCAGGTCATATTTGTGACACTCAACATACATACAGTCATTGGCACCATAAATGAAGGTATGCAAGTCCTTGCCTGCCTGTCCCCTCCATCAGCCAGGGCTGGGCCCAGAGGCGGGACTCACAATAGCCCCATTTCACAGATGGGAGCTGGTTCTCCAAGTGATAGTCACGGCATGAGGTCTTGCAGCTTGAATGTTGCTGAGCTACAGTTTGAACTCGGGTCTGACTGTTCCCATGCTGGGTTTCATCCCCCTGCTCCCGACTGCTGAGTCGCTGCACCAGCAAATAGTTGGGGATGGAATGGCTCCAACTGATGCCATGTGTAGGAGCAGTTAAGGGTCTAGGGCCTACCCTGCCAGCCACTGTGGCCTGAATTCGATCCCAGGCCAGGGAGCTGACCCACATGGCCTCTCCTGTCTCGCCCGCTGCTCCCCTCAGCAGTGTATCTCAGTCAATCCACCTGTTTTGCTCCCCACTCTGTCTCTGGTGAATCCTCTTATCCCCCCATACCTCTGGCCTGCACCCTAGTTCTTGTATGCATAAATGAATAAATCTCTTTTATTAAGGATTTATTTTTTATTTATACAATAGCTGGGGTACAGGCCAGAGATGTGGGAAGGTGAGAGGATTCACCAGAGACAGAGTGGGAAGCAGAACAGGCAGAAAGACTGAAAGCACTGCTGAGGGGAGCAGGGGGCGAGACAGGAGAGGTCTGCTGTGCCATGTGGGAATCTCCCTGGCTGGCCGGGACTCAAACCCACCCTACAGAGGCTGCAGACAGCTTCACAGCGCCGTGCCTAACCCGCTGCACCACCAGGGAGGCCCCAATGAATAAATCTTAAAAAAAAAAAAAAAATGGGGTCTGGATTCGTATCACACAGCTCTGCCACTGGCTTGGTGGAGAGACGATCTTGCCAAGCCTCAGTCTCCCCGTGGAGTAGTAATGCCTGGTCACAGGATGGTGGGGAGAAAAATCTGAGAGTGCAAATGAAAGCGTGCTGCAAATTCTAAAGTGTGAGATAGATCAGTGGGTATCGATCCAGTGATAACAATTATTATAAAGATAACAATTATTAGTAAGGTGACTGTGGCCACAGTTGCTTTGTGACAGTGACCACTGGCCTGACCAATGTCCTTCATGTCTCAGTGCTACAGGATGTGACCTTTCCCTGGGGACAGCGAATGTCCTGTTGGGCCCCACACTGAGCAATGAACAGACTAATTTCTGCTGGAACTCGGCTCATTGGGGACTGAAGGTTTGCGCCCAGGCCTAGATCTCTTGAGGCAAAGCAAGATGCTCCTTCTATCTGAGAGGGAAAAGTCTCTGCTTTGCCTTCTGAGTTCAAGGACAAGCCAGTGCAGGGGGCAGGGAGAGTGGACATGGTGCCTAGTGTCTGCCTGTCACTCAGGGAATCCACAGAGACCCCCAAGCCTCTGCTCTGCACCCTGCTCACCTGCCCGCCCGCCCATCCCTGCTAAGGGCATCAGGGTACCCAGAGCACAAGCAGCAGTGGACTTGGCAGCCGTGGGATGCTAGTTCATCTCCCATGCAACCTCCACCTCATCTCGCTCACATACAGGGGGTGGGTGGCATAGAAAAAGCCCAGCATCTAGAGTTAGAAAAGTAGGGTAAGAATCCTGGTTATGCCAGTTATGGGGACCTTAGGGAAATCACTATACCTCTTAAATCCTCTTAAAACATTCTACAATGAGCTCCCTCATTGCAGAATGGAAACTGAGCTACAGCGTTCTCCATCTTCCTGCTGAGGAGTCTAACAGGCCCTGACTTGGAGAATGTAAAGTCACAGGGTCCTGACACTGCTGCAGTACACAGGAGATGGCCTGGAAGGAGAGGTGAACAACGTTAGCTCTAAAATCTGTTTCACCTGCTCCGTTCTAGCCCCTGGGACAGGCATTGCAACCCAACACTCAGGGACAGAAAGGGGAACCACTACCTATCTCATTCCAGGGCCTCGGGGAGGAGGCAGGAACCTACTCTTGAATAGGGAAAGTTGGAGATTACTCTGGAAGGCTTGTCCAAAACATTCTCCCTCCTTTTTTTTTTTTCTTTAAAGCATTGTACTAATTATCTGAATCAAGTATTATTTTAAAATAACAATTCTAACTAGAGACTGGCTGGTGGGGTTGTTGCAGAAGGGCCACGTGGCCCTGAACTCACACCAACAAACAACCTCAAAGATGAACTTTGAATTGTTATTTCCAAACGAGGTTGGTGTATGACCACAGAGCTACTGCAGCGGGACTGGGGAAACGCTGTTCCCCACGAAGCTTTAAGCTTGTGTCTTATTCCTTTAGTGTGTAGAGTAGACCAAGGTTTCTTGTTGCGAGATACACCATCTTTGCTGTAAGATATAATATTTTTGTGTATTGTTCAAGAAAATATTTTGTGCAAAATATCACAATTTTTACAATTTTTCGTTGGCATTTCTTCGTTCAGAAAACCGTGTTAGATGGCTCAGGGACATGGCAGGAGTGAGGGAGGAAAACTAGAGTGACCCAGGCCTGTTTCTACTCTGAGAAGACTTGGGTCTAATTCAGGTCTAACTTGGTCGCCAACGGAGAGCCCGGTGGGTTGCCCTGCCTCTTCACAACCTGAACTGTGCCCATGAGGGGTGGGGGACCCACAATTTTAAGTTTGCAAGTTTTCCTCACTAAAGCAAGAGGTAGCAGCCCCCATCCTGGAGTGGCCCGGGGAACTGCCCCCCAGTGATATCTCCCGTCCTATGCCCTCTGCCTTCTCAGTTCATTGCTTGTTTGCCTACAATTGTGACCTCACGTTATTCCAGAATGAACTCCCTCCTGGGCCCCTTTCCTCTGAGCCTTGCTCTGTTATGAGATTGGGGCCGACAAGTGGAGATGGAAAACGCAAAACTGACCGAGGGAGACACAGGCCTCAGGTACTAGCTCAGCCAAGAGGGTCTGTCAGTGATGGTCAGCCTGATCTAGCAGCCTCTGCCCCGGCGGCCGCTAGACAGACTTTATGTTCTCCAAGTCAGGGCCTTCCACCAGACTGGCAGCTGAGAAGAATTGAGTGGCAGAATGGGTCATAAGCAGAAGGTAGAAGGGACTCACAATTAGGGTAGCTGCCCTTCCACTGGCCTTGGGGACAGGTGTCAGGGTGGGAGATAGGCCAGAGGCCTGAGGACAAGACTTGAGGGAGATGCCTGCCAGACTGGACTTGAGGGATGTTGTGGCCTTTCCCTACCCTGCCCCCCAACCGCCTTCCTCACAATGGGGTCCATTGCTGAGGAGGGAGGGGCAACCTAGGGAGGGGGAAACAGGGGACACCACCTGCCAGACACCCTCTGGGAGCCTGGCCCTCCCAAGCATGAACCATTTCACCTGGGCTCCCCCAATCCCAGTGTGCTCTTAGGTCTGCCTGTGTGGAGTGGGGTCCTGGAGACCTTCCTGGAGTTTATCCAGCAACCATCATGCAAGGTGGTGCTGGGGACCCTCCTACTCCTAGGAGGTGGAAGCTTCATGCTGTGGGCTCATAGGAAGAGGAGAAAGAAGACAGTCCCTGGGTCTGCACGGGAGGAGCAGGAGCTGCCAGAGTGCCACAGAACAAAGAATGAGAACTGGATCAAATCCCACTTCAGCCGCCTCTCGGAAGAGAAGCTGGCCACCTGCAGCAACATGGCCACAGCCCCCAGCAGCAGCAGCACTGGCCCCCAGCTGGAGGGTGGCAGTGGAGAGGCCAACACCACCATCCGCGTGGAGACCTTCACTTCCAAGCAAGGGAGCTCCACTCTTCACCGTGAGTCCTTCACCAGCAAGCAGAGGATGTCAGGGACCTCCATGATCAAAGAGACCCACAAGGAGACTGGAAAATCCTCCTCCACGGACGAAGCCACGTGGGCCGCCGTGTCCGCCTGCACCAAGGACATTGACACCTTGGGGCGGCAGCTGGCCAGCTCCATGCTGCAGCGCGCCTCCGCTTACCAGCACACAGGCCACCTGGAGACCAAGGACATCAACCAGGATGAGCTGAAGGCTCTTGAGGAGGTGGAGTTGAAGCTGAAAGGGAATTTCCTTACCCAGAGGGAAACGACCGTAGCGGGTATGAACCACTCCCACACCCTCCACGGCCACAGTCACCACAGCCACCAGAATCATCCAGGCCACCCCAGCCACCACAGCCACAGCCTGCCCAACCGCAGCCACCAGAACTATGGCCCCTTTGAGTCCACCTAGCCATCGACGGGACGCCCCTTCCCCCAGCAGGGCTGGCACACATATGCAGGCCTGTTTTCTCTCCTGTGGGGAAGCCCACATGGCCCAGAGTGAGGTGCCGTTCAAATCCCTTCTTACTCAGGCCCCCACAGGGGTCCTGGCACCTTTAACTCCATGAGAGGTGTCTGCCACCGAGGATGGTCCCTGCTGGAGGGAAAGCTGGGAGGAAGCCAAGCAGCTGAGGCAGACAGAGGCCCCTGGAGACCCACGGAGAGGACAGTTGAGGCAGATCCAGGACCAGCGGAGAGCCCCACACTGAAGCCTAGTGCCTGGAACTAAGCCAATAAAGCCTTGTACACCCTCCCTCTGTGTTGGAGTGGGGGAACTCTGGGACGGGTCTCACATCTGGGTGGGCGTGGGGAGAGAGGGGTCCTTCTCCCACAGTCCTCTTGGTGGGGAACTTGGCTTAAGGCCAATGGCTTTTTCGAGACTCCATCAAATAGCTTCCCCAAGTCCCAGGTTCTGGGGATGGGCTACTGAGGGAAGAGAGAAGCAGTCAGGTGTTGGGAGAGATGGAGAGAGAGGCTCTCAGAAGAGAGCAAGCGGGTGGGAGGTAGGCCCTGTCAGCCTGGTGCTGTCCCCACCTAGTCTGCTGTTTCTGAAGGCCTGTGGTATCCCACACCACAGCTCTCTCCTTGCCCAGCCTGCTTCCCGGGCCCAGTGGGATCTGTGTTAGCACATCTTCGCCAGCTATCTCCAGAACTGCTATGGTTGGGCCTAGAGCTACCAGCCTCACTGTTGTTAGCACTACTAACTAGTATTACTAGCACCATCAGAAGCTCCCTCTGTTTTTTTTTTTTTTTTTTTTAGTTTTTATTATATGCCATGCCCTGTGTTAATTGTGGCCTGAAGCTCAGAAATAGAATTCGCTGAGATAGAGAATAAGTGATGCTACTGTTGTTAGAAACCAGCTTTGCCTGACTCCAAAGCCTGTACCCCAGTTTCCTGCCCTGTGATGACCTCCGATCCAAAGCCCCTGTTCCCCATAGAGCTTCTCTCACATTTATCTGTCTTCTAGCCACATGTCCTGACACTTTCTGTGCCTTCCTGCAAACCTGGACTCTCCCTGCCTCCTTTCCCTGGGTCCTAAGAAACTGTTTTGGGGTTGGGGTGATCGCCAACCAGGCAGTGAAATGTGGCTGCCTGCTCCACTGAAACCCGAGCCAGGTCAGCTACACCACACTAATTCTAAGTGACTCCTTGATATAGAAATCTCTTACTTTTTGTATCTATTATTTATCATCAGTTCCCAACATGAGGAACTCAAACCCTAGGGAGAAGGTGCCCAGAATCACTGCAAAGGTTGGATAAATCTGTAAATTCCCTAAATGTGGTCAGTTGATTTTATGGCGCAGAGTTGAGAGTATTTGACTATTTCTGACATTGTTAAAAGTAACTATGTCAATGCTGCTATATTTGTATACTTAAAATTCTTTGTAGTCTTTTCTTTTTTTTTTTAAAGATTTATTTATTTATTTATTTTTATACAAGCACTGGGTACAGTCAGAAGTGCAGGAAGGTGAGAGAATTCACCAGAGCCAGAGCGGGGAGCAGAGCAGGCAGAAGGACCGAAGTACACTGCTGAGGGGAGCAGCGGGCGGCAGGAGAGGTCTGCGCGTCATGTGGGACCCTCCTCCGGTGGCCGGGGAGCGGCCAGGGAGCATCTGGGGAGCAGCAGGGGAGCAGCCGGGGATGGAACCAGGGCTGCAGAGGCTGTGGGCAGCTTCGCAACCCAGCGCTCAACCGCTGCGCCACCGGGGAGGCCCTCTTTGTAATCTTAACTAGAAAAAAGATCAATGACACTGGAAAATGTTGGTGATTTGTACATTTAACAAAAGGCAAGAGTGGGTAAGATTTGGTTTCTAAAAGTGATGGTTAAAATGCATAAAATACCTGCTCTATCTAGAAGGTAAATCCTTTCATCAAAGCTTGACATGAAATTTCAGTTTACCTAATTATGACTTTGGACTCTTTAAAATTTCAAACTGGCTAAATTTAGATAAAATAGTATTGTACCAATATGAATTCTCTGGTCCTGATAATTGTACTCTATAGGAATACTTATAGCTGTTGTCATTAGTGGGGGCTGGGTGAGGGCTGCTTGGAAGTCCCCTGTACTGTACTATAAGAGCATCTTTTTTAAAAATATATTTTACTTTATTTTTTATTTAAATTTTACTTTTATATTCCCCATACAATTACAACCCCCTTATTTTGACCCCAATCTCTCCTTTCCCTACCCTCCACCCCCCATAGAGTGTCTCTGGTTCATAGTTGTTTGTTGATGTTGATTTTCACTTTCTTATAGTTATTCTTTTTCCTGGTCCCTTATTTAAGTTTTCTAGATTCCTGCTATGAGTGAGACCATCCGGTATTTTTCTTTTTCTTTCTGGCTTATTTTGCTGAGCATGAGCCCTTCCAGCGCCATCCATGTTGCTGCAAATTGCATGTGTTTATCTTTTTTGAATGTATAAGAGCAACTTTTATATAAGTTTAAAAGTAGTTCAAAACTAGAAGTACAGAGAACAGTTTTCAGATAATTTAGTTATGAGTGCATGTCAAAGTTTCATTACAGTCACATTACAAGAAAACAGCTTTTAACTGTTAAGTTTGTTCTACTGGAGAGTTTCATAAGTGACCAGTGAAATCCTTGCTAAACTAAATACAAAGAAAAGTAGTTAACAGCCCTCGACCCTTGCCTGAGAGTCATCGGTGGCTGGCAGTGAGTGGGGTGAGGGGGGCTGGGGTGGGTGAAGGAAGGATTTGGGGTGGGAGTTGGGTAGAGAGGGTGGCTGTTTCCCAGAGCAAGGATTAATTCCCTTAAAGTTCATCAGGAAATTGCTGAAGTGTTTTATCAGGAATGTTCATTTCTTCCCAGTGGGAGGTTATGAGTTACATCATGAAAAGTTCTGACCCCCCATTATGTTTGGGACAATTTTTCTTTTTTACAAGTTGGCCAAATGTTCCTCAACAGGCAATGTGTGAGGTATCATGGAGACACATTACCTTATGTCCCCTCTGAGGATGTCTCCAAAAGGAGGGGACACAATCCCTGACCCTGGTGATTTTAGTGCTATGCAGGAACAAAATGTTTTGGAGTCGGGGGAAGTATCTGGGCAAGGCTGTGGCCCCGGGAGCTTTTTCGGAGCTGCTAGGGAGGTGTTCAGGCAGAAGGAACAGCATGAGCAAAGGTGCAGGGCAGGAAGCTGGCAGAATGTCTGGGGGTCTGGGCTGAAGGGGACACTTAAAACTAGGCAAAGGTAGGAAGAAAAGCCAGGAATGTGACTCCAAAGCTCAGAACCAGGTAGGACTCAGGAGAAATCCAATTTCCTGTTTTACAGGGGAGACAAGTTTGGGAAATTTTGTCTAATCCCACAGGCAGGGGTGGGGAAGATTGAAGGGTTCTGAAAATTTCTGTACTTTTTTTCTTAAAGATTTATTTATTTATGCATATAAGAGCTGGGACGTAGCCAGAGGTGGGGTGAGGGTGGGGGTTTAGAGGATTCACAAGAGACAGAGTGGGGAACAGAACAGGCAGACTGACTGAAATACACTGCTGAGGGGAGCAGTGGGTGAAACAGGAGAGGTCTTCTGTGCCATGTGGGTCAGCTCCTTGGCCAGGGATCAAACTCGTATGCAGTGGCTGCTGATAGCTTCATAGTGCTGAGACATAACACTTTGCGCCATCAGGGAGGCCCCTCTGTACATTTTTGAGTAGGCAACACAGAAGGGCAAAGGACAGGGTAAGGAAGTTCAAAAGATAGATGTCCAGTGCAGGGATCCCTGGAAGACTTCTCAGAGAAGGTGGCCATAGCGCTGAGCCAAGGTGCATGACAGTGATAGGGACTCTTTTTATGAAAGAGAGACTATTATTCCATTTGGCCATATTATATTGCTGGTGCCTCCCTTGTCCAAACACCCAGTCCCTTCCCAGGTCACTGTCTTCCCAGCCAGCCACGTAATGATGGGGCAAGGGAGGGGAGCTTTCCAAATGAGCTCTTCATCATAACACTGAAGGGGTCCTGAGAGGCCTTCCAGCGCAGACTCAGCTCCCTCCCAACTGCCCTCTCCCTCTCTCCTTCCTCCTCCACCTCGCATGTGAGGCTTGAGCCCTTTCTCCTGAGCCCCTGTCCGCAGCTATTACTGTGCCCAGCCAGGTTTGAGTCTAACCACTTTACCAATAGTTTCTTGTTTCGATCTCACAACAACTCTTTCAGGAGGACACTAATATACCCATTTTTCAGTTGAGGAAGCTGAAGTTGGAGGAAGTCTTGGTCTAAGAGCTCACCTGATGAGGGGCCGCCCTGCATTCAAGCCAGGCTCTGGGTTGAGGGCCCTGCTTCTCCACCTCTCACTTTCCTCACTCCCCAACTACAGACCTGGCCTTTCCCTCCCCTCTGGCCCTTCTCTACACATGGGCCTGAAACTGGACACCTAGGTGAGGAAAAGGAGTGTGTGTGTGTGTGGGGGGGCTTTGTGACCTTAGCTCACAGACCTCAAAGTGCTTTCTTGTTCATGTTCTTGTTTGAACCTTTGAAACAGCCCTATCAGGTAGGGCTGCCCTATCAGCAGCCAGAGGGGGACAGTGCTTCCCAGCCCGGCTTCTCTTCCTTCTTGGTAGGTGGGCCTGGGTCAGATGCCCCCTGTAAGAGACCGAGGGAGAGGGCTGTGCCAATAGAGTCTTGAGCACAACTTCACCACCCAGAATGCAAGACCCTGCTGTCCTGTTGTTTAGGCCAGGCCCACCCTTGGGTCCTGGGGTTTTTGGAACTGAGCACAGAACAAAGGGTGACTTGGGAGTGAGTGACTACAGCTAAAGAAATGGCTAGAGTGGACCTCCCTGGTGGTGCAGGGGTCGAAGTCTCGGTGCTATCAAGCTATCACCAGCTACTGCAGCACAAGTTCGATCCCTGGCCAGGGAGCTGACCCACATGGTGCAGCAGACTTCTCCTGTCTCGCCTACTGCTCCCCTCGGCAGTGTATTTCAGTAGCCTATTCTGCTCCCCACTCTGTCTCTGGTGAGTCAGCTCACCCCACACACCTCTGGCCTATACCCCAGCTCTTGTATGTATAAATAAATAAATCTTCAAAAAAAAAAAAGTCGCTATTGCAAGAACTGGTCCCAGAGCCCTCCCAGGATGGGGGCGGGGGTGGGGGGGTTGTGGAATGGGGAAAGATGCCTTTGATATTTGAGTTGAAGAAGTAGCAAAAGCTCGATCTTTGAATCCTTGATCTTTAAATCAGAGGGTGCTGATCTAATCGTGGTGACTGAAGCCCTCTCTGGGGCTGGCACCACTATGCCTGGGGATGACCCACTGGGAAAGCACTGGGACCTTCCATAGCAAGACAGAAGGAGGCTCCTGCTCAGCATCTAGCCTGACACAGAGGACTCAGTCCTGAGGAGGCATTCCTATAGAAGCCAAAAGCGATTTGCCTCAAGATGTTCCCTGCCAAGGTGAAAACAAACAAGAAAATAAAAAAAACTGGGGTGGAGGAAGGGAAGAGACTGCTAAGCATCTAGTGAGATTTTCTGGAATCCACTCAGTGGAATCTAATAATGTAGTGAACAGCATGAGAAAAGGTTTGTGATGTAAAGTTGACTCCACATTACACTATGTCCCCTTAAGCATGACTCACAGGAACAGTCTCCTTTGGTCCCTGTGCCAGGAAACTCTGTGTTTCTCCAGAACAGCTGCTTTGCTTTTATCTTGAGTTCTGCATAACTGTCAGTTGACCACATTTCCCTTTTAGCTTTGACTTTCAGGAAGCTCCAAATCAAATTTCTGGCCCATCACTCACAAGTGAATGGCAGGGATTTTGTATGCTAATATTGCCCCCTGCTTTATTTTCTTTCCTTTCTCCTAAAGATTTCTGTAAAATCTTATATTGCATGATGTATTTGTCAACTATTTAAGAAAAATATTTTTTGAGTGGAATGGGGTAGAGAAGAGAAAGAAAAGAAAATAGAATTTGCTCAGTAGTCAGAGGGGACTGGAGTCCAGTGCTTGTCTTCCTTCCTTCTTGGCAGAGGAAGCTGAGAGGAAAATAATTTTACTAACAATTCCTTCAGATTCAGCGGAGGAGGATCAGTTCTTCTGGTCCCTCGTGCATATTAAAGGGTTGACAGCTTTAACTGGTAATGACTCAAATGACTGGTCAAACTGGTAATGACTCAAATGACTGGTCAAACTGGTAATGACTCAAATGACTGGTCAAAATGGAAAATAAAATGAGATGTCATTTTTCACCCAGAAAACTGGCAAAAATTAGTTCTGACAATACCTAGTGTTGGCATGGATGGACCTAGTGTTGGCATGGATGGACATTAGCAGACTCTTCTTCTATGGGCTGCTGGGGTCTGACCTGGCTAATCTGACAGAAGTTAGCACACGAAGCGACATGCACATGTGACTTGGCAACTACTTACCTACCTGTCTAAACTGTAGAGAAATTCTTAGACATGTGTGTCTCACTATTGTTTGTAATAATAAAACTGTGGAACCATTTTAAATGTTCTCAAAGGGAGAATGAAAAATATATTGTGGTCTAACCTCACAACAGAATGTTATATAGCTGATAAGATGCCTGGATCAGAACTTTGTCTACTGCAATGGGCAAAGCTCAAAACATAATGTTCAGCAAAAATGGCAAATTGCAGAAGGCTATAAAGGTTTGATTCCATTTCTATAAAGTTTAAAGTGGCAAAAACCATATTATATTTTGTTTGGGGGTTCATAGGTATGTCAAATATATAAAGACAGGAAGGGGAACAATCAACTGCTGAGTCAGAACAGAAAGAGGAAGAGGGAGGTGGTCAGCAGGGGGGCACGGGCACTGGGCATGGATGTGGATTACATTCTCTCTTATTTTTGGTAGGACTAAAGCTTGTCATTACAACAAAAATCGTATGGAGGGTGTCGTTGCAATGGGATAAAAACATTCTCCCTGTAGCAGAACAAAGATGGGAAAGAAATGGATTAAAAAATTATGGTTTGGGGAGAGGTGGGGACCCCAGTGTATAAGCACCAATGTCTTGGTTGTCCACAGAGGATGGGAAGGTGTTGGCTGGTCGTGATGGAGCCTCTCTTGCAGGCTTCGTGGTCCAAGGCTCCAACGGGGAGTTCCCCTTCCTGACCAGCAGTGAGCGCCTGGAGGTGGTGAGCCGCGTGCGCCAGGCCATGCCCAAGGACAAGCTTCTGCTAGCTGGCTCTGGCTGCGAGTGTGAGGCCATAATGCCCTGGGCCCTGGGTAGCTGGAGGGGCAGGGGATGGCTCCTTGACCTTGGGGCTGGGTTCAGATACTTGTTTTGTCTCTTTTACACACCCTGATTGCTCCGGGGTTCTAGTCCAGCCCTTCTTCCTAGCCCTTTCTCCTCCTCCTCTCACCCTCCATGGCCCAGAGGGAAGACACACTCTTTCCCCTGCAGCTACTCAAGCCACGGTGGAGATGACCTTGAGCATGGCCCAGGTCGGGGCTGACGCTGCCATGGTGGTGACACCTTGCTACTATCGTGGCCGCATGACTAGTGCTGCCCTCATTCACCACTACACCAAGGTGGGTGTGAGGGGGACATGGCTTTGACACCTGGGGTTAAGAATAGGTCAGATGAGGTGGACACTCTGCCTGGGGAGAGATGAGAGCAGCTGGGAGCAGAGTGGTGGCCCCACCTCCCCTAGGGGCAGCTATGGGAAAGCCGGGGAGGCCACCAGGTGGCAGTTGTGTGATATTGGGTGACTCACTTAACCACTCTGTTCCAAAGTTCCCTGTCCTCCCATATGGGAGAAATAATGGTATCTTTCTCGTGGGGCTGTCATGAAGTTCGCAATGTAAAGGACTTAGAACTTGCCTGGTACTAGAAAGCGCTCGCTAAATATTTCCCATTACCACGGTCACAGTCTGAGTTCTGGGCACTGCGCCTCCCAGGGCAGGAGAGGGGCCTGTGCGGTGACCCTGACCTGGGCCTGTGATGGCGGGCAAGGAGCAGTGGGACTCTCAGGTCTGGCACAGCTGCCCTCTCCCCTCTGTGCCCCTCAGGTGGCTGACCTCTCTCCAATCCCCGTGGTGCTGTACAATGTCCCGGGCAACACAGGGCTGGACCTGCCTGTGGACGCGGTGGTCACGCTCTCCCAGCACCCGAACATCGTGGGCATCAAGGACAGTGGCGGTGATGTGAGTGGCAGCTGCTCTTAGCTGGGGCTCCCTCTTCCTCTTCTCTTTTGCCACCCATTTCGGGGCCAACCTGGAATCCGCATCAGCCCAGGGCTACTGTTTGGGTTCTGTCTTGCGGACTCTCAGGGTTTCCGGGCATCTCTCTGGGACCTGCACTCTGCTGCTCCGTGCTTGCCCAGCCCCCACCCAGGCTGGGGGAGGCTCGGGGCCCAGCTCTCACACCCAGTTTGCTGTGCTGTTGCAGGTGACCAGGATTGGGCTGATTGTTCACAAGACCAGGAGGCAGGATTTCCAGGTGTTGGCTGGATCGGCCGGCTTCCTGCTGGCCGGCTATGCTGTGGGTAGGCCCCCTGAGGCTGTCACACTGTGACGAGTGACCAGCAGCTGGGTCTGCTAGGAGAGACTGTGAGGACCAGGGCGGGGTCTGCAGCGGGTCGCCGCCAGTGTGAGAAGCAGGGCACACGGCTTGCTTGTCTGGAGCCCGAGGGGTTGTGAAAGACCTTGTTGGGTAGGAGAGGGTGGCTGTAGACAATCCTGGGCTCAACTAGGGGTGCCAACAATTTGCTCTAAATCCCCAGCTCCTTGCTTAGGTGACAAATTTAGCTCCTCTAATCTCATTTTGTAAATCATTCTCTGAGGGCCGAGGCCTGGGCGCCCCTCCCCTCAAGTCCCGGAGTCCATTTTCCTTTCTCCCTGGTCCCAGGGCGGAATAAGTGGTCAGATCTGTGGGTTGGGCCCAGGATCTTCAGCTGCCTGATCAAATTCTGTTCCAGTCCAGGATCCCAGGAATGTCACCCTTAGACCAACTGCTCTTGTCTGTTTGGGCTCAAGGTCCTTGGGTTCAAGTTGGATTTGACCCTTGCAGGGAGTGGAGGGATGGGAAGCGTCTGCTCCCTTCAGCGGAAGCCCAAGCCAGAGCAGATCTGAACTACTTCTCCAGAGCTGCGGGGTTCCTATCCTCTCTGGTCTCTGCAGACATTGCCTCACTGTCTAAGGCCTTTGCACAGCTCCTTTCTTCCATGTCACAGTCCTTAAAGTACAGGGGAAGAAGAGGGGCCCATTTGTCCTCACTACTGAGAGTGGGATAGATGCACAGAGCATAGATGCCGGAGGCAGGGGCACTGAGTGGGAATCAGCCCTTCCGTTCAGTCACTGAGTGCAGCATGACAAGGTATTTAGCTCTGTGGACCTGAGTTTCTACTCTGTCAAACCAGAGCCAGTGTGAGGATTAGTGTTGGCCTCGTGTCTGCAGGATGTCTGGCATGTAGTGGGTATCAGTAAAAGCAGCTATATTAGCTCATCCCAAATTGCCTGCTTTCTTTTCCCGCCTTGAGGCCACTGTGCTAAAGGTCATTTCCTAATTAGCCTGAGAATCACACTGACAGGCTGGCAGAAGTGGCAAGGACTTCTGGGATCACAGTCAGGCCACTTTCATTGCCCAAATGAGGACAAAGAGAACAGAGAAAGTCTAGGACTTGTGCAGCCAATGGGGGGGATTCCCAGTCTCCTGACTGTGTCCAGAGCTCTTTCTACTCCTCCCCACCCCCAACCCCTGCTGCTGTCCCAGGCCCAGTTCACTGAGATTAAGATTTGAGAAGAGCAAAGATTCCCCATCTACTCCACCCCCTTCCAGGACTGATGAGTCAGGGGGCTATTGGAGGAACTCTGGAGGTGGAACTGGCAGGTGGGACGTTCCTGGGGAGAGTGTGGGAGAGGGGAAAGAAGTGTCCTTGAGTTGCCTTTGGTTTGGCTTCCTGCCCCTCAGCCTGCAAGATTCTGCTTCAAATGTGTTGATGGCTTTTTGCTCTGGAACTGGTACTCTGTGGAATTCCAGAGCATGGCTTTGACACGGCCAACTGGTAGCACAGAAATCCACATCCCATCTCCTCAAAATAAAGGCACGCTGTAGGGCTCTGTGAGAAGAGGCTCTGGCTGATGTTCTGCATCTTGCTCTGGGGCAGGAGCTGTGGGGGGCGTGTGTGCCCTGGCCAATGTTCTGGGGGCTCAGGTGTGCCAGCTGGAGCGACTCTGCCTCACAGGGCAATGGGAAGATGCCCAGAAGCTGCAGCACCGCCTCATTGAGCCAAACACTGCGGTGAGCCCCCAACCAATGGCCTCAATGAGGGGTGGGGTGAGGGTGGGGGGTCCATGTCCTCATTGGAGCAGGAGGCAGGCTGGACTCAGGGTCTTTCCTTTCAGAAAGTCCTTTTGGAGAACATTCCAGTGTTGGCACTCTTTGTGCCTCCCCAGAAAATCTTGACTTCAGACAAAGCAGAGCCCCACTGGGTCTCACGCTTAAGTGCACCGGAATTCATTAGGGAGCTAGTTAAAATTCTAACCTTTTAGGTCCAAGAATAAGCCTCCTGGACGGTGGTGACACAAGTGATGCTGGACCTTACTTAGAGGCTTTTATATCAGCTTTACAAGTGAGAACAGACATTGTTCCTGATTTTAGGGAACGCATTTAGCCTTTTGCCATTAAGTATAATGTCAGCTGTAGGTTTTTGCAGATGTTCTTTATCATGTTAAGGAAGGTCCCCTCTGCTCTAGTTTTCACAATGTTTTTAAAATCACGAATGGGTGTTGCATTTTGTCAAATTCTTTCTCGGCATTGATATGACTATGTTATTTTCCCTGTTAATATGGTGGATTACATTGATTAATTTTGAATTTTTAAAGAATTTTTTAAAGATTTATTTATTTATGCATACAAGAACTGGGGTGCAGGCCAGAAGTTCGGGGGGTGAGAGGATTCACCAGAGGCAGAGTGGGAAACTGAACAGGCAGATCGATGGAAATACACTGCTGAGGGGAGCAGCGGGCGAGCCAGGAGAGGTCTGCTGCGCCATGTGGGCTGCTACCTGACCGGCTGGGGATAGAACTTGTGCTGCAGAGGCTGTGGACATCTTCACAGTGCTGTACTTAACCCCTTGCACCAGCAGGGAGGCCTGGTTAATTTTTTAAATGTTGAACCAGACCTATGTCCCTGGAATGAATTCCATGTAGTCATGATGTATGAATCTTTTTATATATTGCTGAGTTCCCTTTGCTAATACTCTGTTAAGGATTTCTGTCTAGATTCATGCTGGCTGTTGTATGCAGTTTTCTCCCTATCTTTCATTGCTTCCTTCCTGTCCCTCTCCTTCCTTTTCTCCTTTACTTTCTTTCTTCCTCCCATTTATTAACTTTTTCCCTGATTTTCATATCAGGATAAAAATAACTTCATAAATCCCTTGGACATCTTCCCTCCTCTTCTATTTTCTGGAAGAAATTTTCTCCACTGTGTAGAGTGGTGTTAAATCTTTAAATATTATTTAGAATTCTCCAGGGAAAACATCTAGGCCTGGAGATTTCTTGTGGGGAAGTGTTGGTAATTTAACTCTGCTCTCGGTTTTGCTCTCGGTGTCTGCTGATGCCTTCCTGGCTGGGAGAGTGCCACTTACCTGCCCCTGTGGCCTCCACTGCACCACTTCTGTAGAGTTGGGGGGACAGTGGAGAAAGTTCTCACTGTCCTCACGAGCGAGATCTCTTTCATGACCATCTTCATGGAGTGGGAGGGGCACTAAATACTACTTTTCTTGATGACTGACTTTCTTGGTGTCCCCTTAGGCTTCACATCCGAGGTGATGGCTCAGACAGAGCTAGACAGTGTTTGGTTTGGGTGAAGTGGTAGGTGGGCTCTAGGTCCTGCTCACAGCTTAAATTTTTACCTCAAATGGGCAGATTACCTGAGATTTAGTGAAAGGACAGTGAGGAGGCAAACGTGTGTCTCCCTAGAGGTGAAGGTTCAGGGTGGGGTAGGTGTTGCTGTCTCACTTTACAGGCGAGCAACGTCGGCTGCCCCTCGGGAAGAGAGGATGCTTGTGGCCAGTCTTGGCTCTCTGCAGGTCATCTTCCCCACTCTTCATTCTGTGCCCCCTCCTGCGCCAGCTCTGGGCATGCACTCAGGAATGCCTGGAACACCTTTCTCCTGCCGGGGCGCTAGGCTCAGCCACCCCAAGGGCCTCTTGATGTCACCCTATTGCCCTGTTCGAACACAGTGTGCTTCCTCTGCCTGCTCATCAGTTGGCCTGCTGCCCCAGCTATATTTAGGACTTTCCACTGTCTTTACCCCCAAAGCATTCAGCCCTTTCTCAGGGTCCAAAGAGCTGGTGGATCAGTGATCTTCAGACCCATATTGTGGGAGGACATTTTCCTCTAGGTACTTCTTGTTTCCATCCCCTCTCTCAGGGCTTTCTCTCTTCTAGTTTTGGGTGAAAAATCACCAGATTCTTAGAACATGTTGATTGGGACCAGGCTTGGGAGGAGGGTGGCTTATCACCCATTGTTAAGGAAAGAGTCCCTGCTTGCTGAAGCCTACTGCCTAGGGGTAAATAGTTATTAAGTATTCACCAGTTGTTCCCAAACTTTTGATCCCAAATTCTTATTTTTACCTTTTGTGAAGCTCATATAGCTAAATATTTAAACTTCCCTCCAAATAAAACTTATTATTAAGTAATGATTACTTTTTTAGTTTTTAAGTGGTCAAGGATTCATACAAACTTCCATGCAGTATGAAATAGCCAATTATATCGCAAAAGGAAAGAAACTTGCTGCTCTGTTTTCTGTAAAGCTCTGTGTTTAAAGGACAATAGCTTTAGGTCCCCTGTTACAATGAAAGACCTTTGAGACCATGCCGTCCACTCCCTCATTTTTTAGACAAGAGAATTTGCTCAGAGATGGTAAGTTAGTGATTCAAGGCCACCAAGGCAGTCAAACTTCCTTGGACAATGACGAATTATTTTTCCCATGAGGGCATTTAGAGTTGGGGTCAGGGGCGCAGTAGGTGAGGAGGGGATCCTACTTCAAGAGACTTTTGTAGACCCTTCTCCTCCTGACTTTCTGGACCGGGTGTGCCCTGGGTTAGCTTCCGGGGAACTGGGCTCAGACCAGTGTGCTAGCTCTCCAGAGCAGCCTGAGGGCAGAATGCCATTCTCTCTGAGGGAGTGGATTTTTGCCTAAAACTAAAAGAGGTGATTCCCTGTCTTCATCTGAGTTTTTGTTATAGGACAGGGAGAGGGGCATCCCAAACCCCGCAAACCTGCCTATTCTAAATGGGTTCTGCCATCCGCTGCATCAACACAAAACATATGACACTTTAATGGGAAGGAACTTTAATAAAAACTAGGAAACAATACAGGTAAGGCAAAGAGTCTAGTTTCTAAATGAAGCACCCAAAGTTACCCGTCCCCTCGTGGGTAAAACTCCATCCATATGGGATTGGACCAGAGCAAGGCCCCAAAGCCTGCCACAAGTCTAAAGCATCTTCCAGTGGGGACCCACAGAAAAGAGTCAGAAACAACCAAACAAGCCCAGAAGGAAAAGAGCAAAATCAACATCAAGATAAAAGCTGCCATTGTCACCTCCCCATGGGTCTCACCCACATCTGTGTCACCCAGTCCACGAACAAAAGACAAGCGCAGTTTCTTTACGTGTCTCTAGGCTCCATGTGCCTCCTCCAGGTCTCCTGGCTCCATCCTGCTTCCTTCCTTAGTCTCTTCTTCTGCTTCTCCTCTTCCTGCTCAGCTCCACCCTCCCTTGGGTGGGGCAGGGAACCTCCCCCTTTCCTGGGGACCACCCTGTTACATTTTCAGCATCTTGTTCTCTACTGCCAAGCCGCCTTCTGTGTCTTTCAATCTGGATTTGCAATCTACCTCAATGTCATAGATTTGGGAGAGATACTTTGCCAGGAAAGGCAGGTAGGAACCCTACCTTTCTGAAAGTGACACATGTATGGGTCCCAGATGTGTGTGTGTGGGACACCACGGTCACTTCTAACAGGTCCTACTTCTCAGGTGACCCGGCGCTTCGGGATCCCCGGGCTGAAGAAAGCCATGGACTGGCTTGGCTATTATGGAGGCCCCTGCCGGGCTCCCTTGCAGGAGCTGAGCCCCGCACAGGAGGAGGAGCTGCGCATGGATTTCACCAGCAACGGCTGGCTCTGAGGGCAAGGAGGGGACATGCCTGGCCCGAGCCCACCTCAGTCTGCTGCCTGGCACCTGCCGTCGGAAGAGGAACATGGGCCGGAGGGCTGGAGGCTCCTTTCCCTTGTTAGTCCTCCAGTGGCCTCTCACCAGGCACTGCCTTGCATGCTCACTTCCTATTCTCACAGCCCATGACTTTACGCATTTGTGTCCTATACGCTGGGTCTCTAGAGACCTTCAGTCTGGGAAGGAGTCATTTCTTACATGTCTCTCTGCTGTGCCAGAGGGGAGAAGGGCAGGGGGCAGTTGGGCAGTGTTTCACTCAAGGGAAGACAACTTAGACTTGGGAATACAAATCCGAGTCTAGCCTAATGCAGCTGGAGGTAGGGCTACTCCAGAAAACCAGAGTTCTGACTCCTGGCCAGGAAGTGGTGGGCTAGGAAACCCGATGAGAAAAGCATTGCTGGTCTTTGAAAGACTCCCAAGCTGCATTCTAGCCGTCGCACCCTGTCCTAAATCAATCTATTTTAATTCATCTCATGTTCTTGTCTCTACCCTTGATCTCAACCATCCAGTGCACAGACGCACCAGTGGCTTGCCAGAATTGGTAAATAATGACACCTGGTGGATAAAAGTTACATTCTGGGAGACTATTCTAGCTAACCCATGTCTGGAACATTAGGGAAGGACTTGGCCTGAGATAGGACCAACCTTTCCTCTCACCTATAGTTACTCTGCTTTTACTGTTAAAAATAATTACTTTGTTACTGCAATAAAGTTTAATAAGTTAAAGTAGTGTGACTATGTACAGATTGACACTCCACTGCTATACAGATCTTCCTGTCCTGATATCCAGAACCTTCCTAGAGGTAATTAAATTCTCAAGGTCGCTTTTGTCCAGCTCCGAGAGAGGCCTTCACAATACTGAGGAAACATAGGCGTTAGATTAATGGTGGTCTAGAGAAAGGCTTATTGAAGTCATAAATGAGAGAGATAAGAGGCAAAAAAAATTCAACTGAGCTATTTGGAAATACCTAGTACGTTAATCAAAAGGCTGCTTTTTTCAAAATGTTCACCTATGTTTGGTGATATCTGTCTAGAGGCGGAAAACCTGAGGTAATTTTTTTTTTAATTAGTGGCTAAAAAGAAAGAAGCAGATCTTTGTTTAGGGCAGATGCTAAGAGAATATAAAAGGGATCAGTATCCAGTGCAACTGGGCCTCTATCAGCATGGCACTGAATCTCAGAGTTCAGCACCTGCCTCTTCTCACAGGCCACTTCCAGAGGACCTGGGCTCAGAGGAGAATCAGATTTAGAGATGGGGGAGGGGAGGGATGGGGGAAGTTAATGATATCCTGGTGAGAAGCGCAGCCCCTGGGCTTAAATAGGCCTGGATTAAAATTCTGGGATCTGCCCCTTAGAGGTTACAAGACCTTGGAGAAACTGCTTTACTGCCCTGAGCTCATCTGTAATGCAAGTATAACTAGAACCTTCCTCTCAGGCCTGTGTAAGATCATGCATGTAAGGACAGAGTGGCAGGCAGATGTCACATGCTAGCTGAGCTGGAGGAGTGTTACTCTGTTTGCTGCAGAGAAGGGGAAACCCAGGCAGGAGGTGATGTGCCTAAGGGAAACCAGCTGGTGCCAATAACTGGTCCCAGGACAACAGTGGAAAGTGCTTTAGAATCAGAAAAATGGGGATTAAAAATCAGCTCTGCCACTTATTAGGTTGGGCTACCTGAGCATATCTGATTTAAAATAGCTCCTACACTTCAGAGGAGAATTAGTTATCATGCAAGTGAAGTGTGCAGTGTCAGACCTTAGCTCCAATCTGTGATTAACTTTTAGAAACAGCAAATGGGTTGGTGTGGGGTAAGTGAAAAAGCATCAGGCTTTTCTGCCCTCTCACCATTAGGATTGATGATGGATCCTTGTGGTCCTGAATTCATGCCTGATGGCGGGCACCTGGAATAGGTGTGAGCATATGCAGATGGGATTCACCTGGGCTAAGACTGTGCTTATGAGGGCAACATCATGGGGACGCCAGTAGAGCAGAGAGCAAACAGTAGAAGCAGAGCAGAGAAGCAGAGAGAAAGAGAGCAAAACAGAGAGCGAAAAAAAAGCAGAAAACGCCAGAGAGCCCAGAAAGAGTGAAGACTTGCTGGGGGTTGGGAGGCCTGCCAGCCTTCCGGCCCCCTGGCACCCTTTGCCAGTTGTGTACCTGGTAAATCCCAATAGAAGCCTGTAAAAGCCACCGAGGTTTCCAGGACTCTCCTTTTCCTGTCTGCTCGGATCATAGAAAACCTGCACTGTGCCCATTCCTGCCACCCACTACAGTTGGTAATTCCTAAGGATACAGAGCAAGAAAGCCACGGAAACTAAGTATAGGCAGTTCTGGTGTTTGTTTATTCCTCATCAACACTTGTTTCTACAGTACAATTCAGAGAATAAATAGAGGCACACGGCTAGAATTTCCACCACCATCTGCTATTGAGATATTCAGTGTGAGGGGAAGGGGCTGGGGGTGGGGTAGGGCAGGGAATAACTGGGTCACGGGTAACTGGAGGTCTGTGTGAAACTGTACAGGGATCCCAGCAGTCAAGATCTGATCCCAGGCCTCACAGCCAAGGTTCATTATAAAGAGTTACAGTGAACCAAATGGACAGCACTCTTTAAGTTCACCGCAGTCCTAGGAAGGGCCCCATTCTACCTAAACCCCAAGGGGTCAAGGTGGGGCTGGGCAACCAGTCCACTGGAAGGAACTGTGCCAGCTTGAGCCATCCCTAAGGATTCAATTCACTTTGTGATGGGGCCTGACGTGGCTCAGCTCTGTCTGCCCTTTGCCCTAGAGTAATGAATACAACTTACAAGGTGACTGTTCACATGAGTTTCTTTCTTGACTATTCCTTAAAGGGATCCTGTTCCACATCTAAGGAAGGAGAGAGGCACAAATGGGGGTTAGATGCTGTCGCTCAGGTAAGGAAGACAGCCTGCAAAGTGAAGAGAGGGAAACCGCACTCTTACTGAATCCTTCACAGGGGTGATAAGAAGAGACGAATACTGGTCTGGCAGACAAAGCAGAGGGCCTGGAATCCACCTTAGCAGAGGGCCCAAGGTGGAAAAAAGCTCTGGTGTTGATTTTCACAGGCGTACAGTGTTGTCTAAGCCACCCCATTCTTTCCCCTATTTCTCCAGGGTAGCACAAAGCACTGGCCCCCAATGGGGGCCCTAAGTTATCCCAAACGTAGCAGAAAGAAGAGATTCTGCATGGAAGCAGAAAATGAAGTAGAAGGCAACAGCAGGTCTGCACTAGGTAGCCCACCCGTTAGGAACAGCGAGTCTGACAAGCAACAAAAGGAAAAGACAGAACAGGCAATACTGCTGCAGGGCCTCAGGGCCAGAGTCCTCAGAACTTCTGTGACCAAATCCCTGACTGGCCGGTGACCGGCCCTTCGTAAGGCTTCTGCTCCGGGTCCTCCGCATTTCCTCCACAGCTGGTTCCTTTGCTCACCTCCAGTGAGCACCTCCGGTGAGGCGCGCAGTGTCAGGCTGCCAGGTTCCTGGCGGACTTGGAGGCGCTCTGGGCCCGCTGAACCACCGCGGAGCACTTCTCCCGCCGCAACAGCTTGTTGTTCTCAAATAGACCTTCGTTGCGGGGTATTCCATGCGAACCGTCAGGGAAAGTCAGCAGGCCTGTGGGGAGGATGAAGAGAACATGGGGACAACACCACACTGGGAACCCGGGCAGCTGGCTCTACAGAGGCCGAGAAGGCGTGGATGCCCAGCTCTACCCTAAGTCCAAGGCACAGACATCAGCGCACGCAGAAGGATGAACCCTAAAAAGGTGCGCTTCCACCCAGGTTATGCTCACCCCAGCGACCCATCCTGCTGGGCTGTGACTTACCAAAACCATCCACTCTGCCATTTTTAAATTCTCCCTCAAAGGTCATGTTGTCGTGGCGAACGAAGACTCCAACGCCATTAAACTTGCCCTGGGCAAATTCCCCCTCATACCTGCAGAAACACAAGATATTAGCCCGCAGGGGGTGGTAAGCTGTCCAGACTACTGTCCAGCTGTCCAAGCAACTACTGATGTGTGTTGTTACGGTCAGAGGGAAGCTGATTCCACTCCTTTCAGAGCTCCATGGTACCCACTCCCCCCAGGGGACCCTAATCTCAAGAAGGTGACATCTGACGAGAATGGCAGTGAGAGTCCTCCCTGGTAGCGTAGGGGTTAAGTCTTAGCAATAATCACGAGGGCCTGAGTTCCATCCCCAGCCAGGGAGCTGACCCACACATGGCGCAGCAGACCTCTGCTGTCTCACCTGCTGCTCCCCTCAGCAGTGTATTTCAGTGAATCCGCCTGTTCTGCTCCCCACTCTGTCTCTGGTTACCACCCCCTGGACCTCTGGCCTACACCCCAGTTCTTCTATGCAAAAAAAAAAAGTATTATTAAAAAAAGAGAATGGGCCTCCCCGGTGGCACAGCGGTTGAGCGCTGGGTTGCTAGGCTGCCCGTGGCCTCTGCAGCGCAGATTCGATCCCCGGCTGCATCCTGGGCACCGGAGGAGGGTCCCGCATGGCGCGCAGACCTCTCCTGCCGGCCGCTGCTCCCCTCAGCAGTGTTCTTCGGTCCTTCTGCCTGCTCTGCTCCCTGCTCTGGCTCTGGTGGATTCTCTCGCCCTCCCCTGGTTCTGACTATACCCAGTGCTTGTATGAATAAATAAATAAATCTTTTAAAAAAAAAAAAAAGAGAATGGCAGGGGGGTGGAAGATCATTTGCCTCCTTGTCATTTCAAATTTTGAATCTACCCACTAAAAAAAAATTGTAATAACCAATAAAAGAAATGCTTACTTTGTGCTGCTTTCAGAGGGCCTAGGACAAGCTCAGGTTTGACCAGATAAATGACATTACTGTTGTTTTTAGATCAGAACCTCCCTAGTCTAGGTTGAGAAACAAGTGATCTGATACCCACCTTGAGCCATCTGAGAAGGTCAGTACCCCAAAGCCATTAAACAGTCCATTCTCAAAATGACCCAGGTAAGTGCCACCATCTGCAAACATCAGTTGACCAAAACCATGTCTGCGACCTGAGCAAAGGGAAGGACAGGTGTCAAGTTGGAATAGGGCAGATATGGGGAGCCTCTCATTGTCTAACATCCCTTACCTTCCATCACCCCACCCTCAAAGGAAAGAAGAGAAAAATATGTTATCCAGAGTTAGGTACCAGGAAAACTTGGCTCCTAGACCTTTCCATCTTAAGGTCACAACCATCATATTTGGTCTAAGGTAAAAGGGCACTTAAAAATAGAACATATTTGGCCTAAGGTAAGAAGGCACTTAAGAAAATAATATTTACAGCACCTTTACTATGTGCCAGGCATCCTTCTAAGCCCTTTGTATTCATCACCTTATTTAATCTTCATGACAACCTTAGGAAGCAGACACAATAGCCCTATTATTCCCATTTAACAGATGTGGAAACAAGGCAAAAAGCAGCTAAATAATGTACTAATGATCACAGAACAATTAAGAGCTACAGCTAGAAGGCAAACTCAACAGGAAGCCTCATTCAAGAGCCCGCAAGACTTACCTGGTTGCCTGTTTGAGAAAATAGAGATATACCCTTTAGTTCAAGCTACTGAGCAAACCTAATAGCCTGACTGGCAACATTGGTTTGAGCTCTGTTGCATTGATAGGGCTGTGCTTACCCACTGAACTAACCAGGAAACAGAGCAAGATGCTGGGGGAGCAGTAAGATGCTGAGCAGCAAGATGCTGTCTGTATGTTCTTTAGTATGAGGGAGCCCGTCAGGAGAGAGTGACTGCCCAGCATAGCCTCAGGAAGTCTGTCCTCTACAAGGCCACATTAAAGGGGACAGCAGGTGTTTGGGAGGCAGGAGAAAAGACCTGGGATGGATGGAGGCAAGGATGTGTCCCATCAGCATAATTTCTCCTCTCAAGGCTCAACGATTCTAGAAATGGGATGAGCTGCATTTTGCTGGCACAAGTCCCTTTGGGGTAGTTCCTGGTTTGCTAGGTGACCAGACTGTGTTTCCAAACCGAACATCAATACACTGCTTCCTGCAGTCTCAGGATTGGAAGAATGTCACCATTCTTATGAACGGATACTTTCAAGTGTAATGATATATCACAGGAAATTCAAGGCCAGGAATGTCATTTGCTCTTGAGCATGTGTCTTAATTTCCAGATTTCCCTTAACTTCTAAAGATTCATTGGAATGAAGTCATTGCAATGAATTCTGTACTTTCTAATTTATGGGCACTTAAAACAACTCATTCCTCTAGGTATATTAACATTTATAAAAACAATTCCCAATAATACCACTAAAGGATAAAAAACTGTTAAAATACTTGAAATTTAGAAGTGGAAAGTTTAACTTATTTCTGGAGGTTAGATTAACAATAGCATTTCTAATTCCCTTATTTATAAATCTCAAACCAAATAAAGGAAGGGCATTATTCAGATTAAACACTGGAGTTAGAAATGAAGACTCATACAGTTGGTTTACATATCCTGATGTGTCCTTGGCCAAATGAAGTGTGGGTCACTGGACACCGTCAGGGGTACTCTTACCCTCCTTCCACTCGCCACGATATTCCTCTCCACTGGAGTAGGTGAAGGAACCTTTTGTCAGGGTCATGTTGACAGCTTACAGAAGAAACGGATGAAAACTGCAGAAATGAGCAGAGGAGAACAGGATGGCTAGAGGCAGTCTCTTAGATACATTCGCAGGCTTCCAGTCTGGCAGGCTTATGCTATTCTCAGTACACTTAATATAACTACACCCCCTTCACCAACCACCACCACCACTGCCATCTCTGTTCAGGAAGTCTTAGCTTCCTACTTCAGAGTTCTCAACCAGTTCTAATTTTCTATGGCCTTCAATGGAAATTAATCTACAAATATTTAGTCCATACCTCTTTGTGCTTAGCTGATGTAAAAAATTTAGTCTCTTCCTTCAGTGAGTTTATAGTCTAGTTATCAAGACTAACATTTGAAAGACTGAATTATACAAGAGGTAATATAATTAAGGGGCAGACTGAATGGCAGACATGAACAAAGACAAGGGATGGGCAGAATTTAAAACAAGCAGTGAAAAAAAGCCAAGAGCAATTCCAAATTGAGAAGAGCTGCAGGAAACAGAAGGAATGAAGGCCTGAAGAGCAACAGAACCATGGGATGTTCAGTGGGAGAAGCAGCAGCCAGGCCTTACCTTACTAAAGTGGAGTCACAGGAAATAAATTTGCCTGGGTACACTCAGCCTCAATCTTAAATCTGGAAAGAACCTCTTAGATTTAATCCATATGCCCACCTTTTATGTAGAAAGAAACAGAAGCTGGAGTTGGTTAAACGCTGCTCAGTGACAAAGTCCAAACTAATGCCCATACCACCCTTGAGGGCTGCTGGGCCTTTCCCTGGGACTATGTGTTTTTGCCTGAGGGGCAGACTAGCTTAAGGACACCTTTGAAAGCTAGGCAGATGAGCTTACGGCTGGTAAGGGAGAGAAGAGAGGCAGTCAGGGGCTTGGTGAACAGGGGTGTAATAGGAAAGCAGTGTTTAAAAGACATGAAATTGGTAGCGGGAAGCAGGATGGGTTGGAGCAGAGAAGCCTATGGTCAGAGTATCTCCCAAGGCAGGTGACATCATCATTTGGGAGACTGAAAATATGCAGAAGTATTCTCCATCCCTCATGCCCTTGCAATGTGACCTGTTTGAAGTAGTTTATTCCTCTACCCACTGGATCTGAGAGTTCTGTGACTTGCTTTGGCTAGTGGAACGTTAGCAAAGGTATACAAGTAACAGTTTGAAAAGCACTTGTACAGTAGGCTTGTCCTTTGTTGCACTTGGACCTGTTCTGCCCTGATGTGATGAGCCCAGGCTGGTCTGATTATTGCTGAGGAACCAGGCAGAGCAGCGGCCGGCTGAGCATGGATGCATGGGTGAGCTCAGGGGAGACCGGGAGAACTGCCCTTCTGAGCCCAAGACCAAAATCCGGACTCAGAAAATGATGGGACTAAAGAAACAGTGGTTGTATTAAGCCACTTCATTTTGAGACGTTGTGTAACTACCCAGCAAAAGCTAACTAGTACACTCTGGTGTGAGATCATAAGGCCTGAACCAGGGAGATAACCAATTTGTGGGAGCACAGGAAGGACTATGGCAGACATATCACAGGAAACAAGAAGAAGATATGGAGACTGGTGAGGCGTGGCGTCACATGAGTGATAAAAGAAGGTTTATATTTAAGAATAGTTGATAAGAAAGGAGTTCATCATTAGTGTTGGGTGCAAAAATGTTCTCCCAGTTGGTGGGGTTTCTCTTTGTTTTTGTTATTGTCTCTTTCGCTGTGCAGAAGCTCTTTAATTTGATGTAGTCCCAGCTGTTGATCTTTGCCTTCACAATCTGCAAAGAGCTGATGAGACTCAACAACAACAAAGAAAATAATCCAGTCAAAAAATGGGCAGAAGAGCTAAAAAGAAACTTCTCTGAAGAGGAAATGCAAATGGCCAACAGGCATATGAAAAAATGTTCAACATCACTTGTCATCAGGGAAATGCAAATCAAAACTACCATGAGATACCATCTTACACCAGTGAGAATGGCACATATTAAAAAAACTAGCAACAACAAATGTTGGCGAGGGTGTGGAGAAAAAGGAACTCTTCTGCACTGTTGGTGGGAGTGCAAACTGGTCCAACCACTGTGGAGAGCTGTGTGGAGATTTCTGGACCTACTAAACATAGAGCTTCCATATGATCCAGCAATTCCACTCCTAGGTATTTACCCAAAGGACACAGAAACATCAATTCCAAAGAACACCTGCACCCCTATGTTTATAGCAGCACTGTTTACAATAGCTAAGCTTTGGAAACAACCCAAATGCCCAAAAATAGATGACTGGATCAAGAAGATGTGGTACATATATACCATGGAATATTACTCAGCATTCAAAAAAGATAAACACATGCAATTTGCAGCAACATGGATGGCACTGGAAGGGATCATGCTCAGCGAAATAAGCCAAAAAGAAAAAGAAAAATACCGGATGGTCTCACTCATAGCAGGAATCTAGAAAACTTAAATAAGGGACCAGGAAAACGAATAACTATAAGAAAGTGAAAATCAAAATCAACAAAAAACTACGAACCAGAGACACTTTTAAGGGGGCGGGGGTGGGAGGGGAGAGATTGGGGTCAGAATGGGGGGGCTGCAATTGTATGGGGAATATAAAAATAAAATTTATTATTAAAAAAATAAATAAATAAATTTCATTGAAAATAATAAAAAAAAAAAGGAGTTCAGATACTTACAATATCATTAGCTATATACAGAGATAAATAGAATCATTTGACAAATTTAAAAAATACAATTTCTACCTCTTGCTTAGTTCCCTAGATCTAGTCACCTCTTCATCTTTTCCAGATCTAAGCAATACAGGGCCTTTTCATGTGATTGACAACAGACTCTTGTGCCCACACCCAGATCTACTGATACGGATTCTACACAGTCAGCCTGTACTTTTAGCCAGCACACATTAGTTTCTTACACACACTTGAAAGCTTGTGGGTTTTACTGCCCTCTGATCCATAAATCACCATTGAGAGGTGCTGTTATTAATAATTAACCTAGAATCTGACCCTGAGGTGCCTGAGTTCTAAGAGCACAAGTGTACCTTCTCTTCAGAGCATTAGGGCCAGACCTGGATTTTTAAGTCCAGGTGGGCCTGGGGCCAACAACTGGCTTTCTTTTCCTTTAAGCCTTGAAGGGGCTCAAATCATACCCATGTTAAGGGTTTTCTGGATGCCTTCATTGTGAAAAATCTATTTGGGAGTTACAAAGAGTACATTCCACAGTACTAGTGGGATGTGGAAGATTTTATACAAAAACGATGCTTTAAATGTCCACCTAAAACAAGATGTACATTAAATTTATTTTCTTCAAATACTGGTAGTGGACAGTGCTGGGTTATTTTTACTTCAGATGAGGCAAATATATAAAGTCCAACCCTCTTAATCCACAGTCACCCCAGAGAAATTATTTGAAAGAACTTTATCACAGCAACTAACATTTATTGCTCCCTTATATGTTTTTAAAATACGTTATCTAGGGCCATAGACCATGGAATATTACTCAGCATTCAAAAAAGATAAACATATGCAATTTGCAGCAACATGGATGGAGCTGGAAGGGATCATGCTCAGTGAAATAAGCCAGAAAGAAAAAGAAAAATACCGGATGGTCACTCATAGCAGGAATCTAGAAAACTTAAATAAGGGACCAGGAAAAAGAATAACTATAAGAAAGAAAATATCAAAATCAACAAACAACAATGAACCAGAGACACTCTATGGGGGGTGGGGGGCGGGAAAGGGGGGATTGGGGTCAAAATAAGGGGGTTGTAATTGTGTGGGGAATATAAAAATAAAATTTAAATTAAAAAAATAATGTCCAAACAACAAAAAAAATAAAATAATTATCTAATTCCATCTCACAATTTTATGGGGTGGGTATTATTTTACTTTATAGATGAGGAAACTGAGGTAGAGAGGGTAAGCTAACTAAGGTCACTCAGTTAACATGGGCAAGCTACAATGAGAGCCCTGAGGCAGCTGGCCCCTGGGACCCACACTCTTAAACACAACCATATCCTATCCTGTGTGCTTCCCAGTATAATAGAGCGGCTGTGCGGACTCTGGTAGCACAAAGCCTGGGTTCAGATCTTGCTTCACTGTGTAGCCTTGGGAAAGTTACTTCAGCATCTCTGAACCCTGGTTTTCTCATCTACAAAGTGGATCTAATACATACCTACTTCACAGAATTGGCATGTGGATCAAATTAAGTAATATACATGAATATACCTAGAACACTGCCTGGCCCTGTCCATTAAATGTAACTTTATTTTCCTCCTTCAAAAAGAGACGGTAAAACACACACATTTACTTACTCTAATGGAATTTCTCTAAAGTCTCACCACAAAAATGCTACCAACATAATTCAAACAAATTTTTGAAAAAAAAATCAGCAAAATTTCAACTAATGACAGAAGAACTGCAGTTGCCATTCCTCTGTACTTTATCAGAACCACTGGGCTAGCTGTCTTTTGGCTTATGTCATCATGATTGTGAATATAGATGCTGAAAGGCCAGAAATGGTCAGATGTGAAAACAGCTTGTCCTGAACAGAGAAGGCTCAGTCATATCTTTGAGGCCTTGGCCCTATTTCAAGCTCTAGTTTCTTCCTGGCTGAGGGCAAATGAGTCCTGAAGCTGTGAGGACAAAGGAGAGCTGAGAATCCCTGTGCTCGCAGCCACATTTAGAGCAATGTTCATTTCTATCCCCACAGCAAAGGCCAACTTTGTGGAAGCTCTTCAAGTGATGGAGTCTTGCCCACTGGTCTGCCCCGGGTTTTTTCACTTTTCCAGTTACTCAGGAACTCCATGTCCAGGGCCTTTCACAGAGTAGATGTCCCTCAGCATCTCTGGGGGCTCTTTTCTCAGAGAGGTGATGCTGGCACTGGTGTGCCATCCCTGGCCCATCAATCCTCCGCAAGGTCAGCATCCAATTTCAGGCTCTTATCGCCAGCCCATCATCAGTGTGTGCCTGGGGTGGAGGTCAGCAAGACTCCCTTGCAAATGCAACATTAATGAGAGGAAGAGTAGCAGTTTTCCATCAAAGCTGCAGAGGAAAACTCTTTCCAGTGCAGACAGGTGTTTTGATAAATAGACAGCCATGGTCTGTTCTTCCCAGAACTAATTAAGGCAGAGTACTAAAAGCTTATGCTATTTTATTCCTTCAAAACAAATCAATCTGAAAGGCTGTGTCTCCTAATAAATCTGATGACTAAACCACCATTCCAAAATATAAACACAAAATCATTATTGCTACAAGATAAGGGCATTTCCTTTCCATGTTTGGCAGTTGCTAACTAACTTTTTTTCACTCAAAACTTTGGAGTTATTGCGGTGTGACTTGAGTCAACCTGACAAAACAGGGTAAAAGAGGTGGCCTCTTATATTTATTTGCTTTTTCTCAAGGCTACGTGACATTTCCAAATACCTTCTCTCCAAATACCTTTCTTTCTTTTTTTTTTTAAGAATTATTTATTTTTTAAAGATTTATTTATTTATTCATACAAGCACTGGGTCCAGTCAGAAGCGCAGGAGGGTGAGAGAATTCACCAGAGCCAGAGCGGAGAGCAGAACAGGCAGAGTGACAAAGTACACTGCTGAGGGGAGCAGTGGGCAGCAGGAGAGGTCTGCACGCCATGTGCATGTGGGACCCTCGCCCGGGGGCCGGGGGTCGAACTGGTGCTGCTGAGGTTGCGCGCAGCTTCGCAGCCCAGCGCTCAACTGCTGAGCCACCAGGGGAGGACCTCTCCAAATACCTTTCTTTCAGAAGAAGTTCCCTACGAAAGAAAGGGACCAGTGTTTCTCCAAGTTTGAAGATCACCTATGATCAAAGCAACCCCTCAAACTGTAAAATTGATCACTCTTTTGGTATGTTGTTAGCTCTTGGGAAGCCTGTGAAACTTGAAAGATTATCTTCATATTGCCAAATGTGATGGATTCTATTTTCCAAAAATGTTTGCAATCGTATCTTCTTAGACATTCTTTCCGCAATTGACCTTGCCGTTGCTCCATCAAAAGGTGGAGCCTAACTCCTCTCCTTTGAAGCTGGGAAGACTTGTTATTGCCAATAGTATAGGATGGAGGCTGTGGTGTGTTCTGAGGTTAAATCATAAAACATGATGCAACTTCCAGCTGTTGGCACTCTTGCACTTGGAGACATGAGCCAGCAGATCAAATGAGAAGTCTGACTACCTTGAGGGTGCCATGCTGAGGATGCTGAGTCACACAGAGCTATGTGTGTTTGTGCTCCAGTTGGCAGTCTTCATCTTTGAATCATCCTAGCCCATGTATCAGGATTCAGTGAAGGAGACTTTGGATGATTCTAGCCCCCAGCCACTGAGCCTGCATCCCACCTGAGTTAACATGGAACAGAGAGATGGTGCCACGATGCCCTGTTCTAATTTCTGACAGAATCCATGAGCATCTATGGTTATTTTGTGCTGCTAAGTTTGGGGTAATTTGATGTAGAGCAATTGTAACTAGACTATCATATCTCAGCCTAACCTAGCCACCAGCCTTTCCCATTTTGTTTTCATGCTACACATTTCCATTTCTTTTGAATCTAGAGACATATAGTAAATTCCATTCATCCATTCCCAAGAACATAATCAGAAATGCTAATGAAAGGCAACACACAGGTCTCAGGTCGTGGTTGAACACATTTGAGTCAAAGCTTCTACATATGTCCAAATCATTGATATTCTCCCTTGTTGAGACAATGTCAGAATTTTCATTATTCATGACTTCTGTAATCAGCCATGTTAATAGTCAGCTGAATAGCCATTGAACAAAAAGGAATTTCATCAGTTACCATATCATTGAGACTAATTTAATAAAATATAGCCAGTGCTGGTGATATTTGAAAAACCCAATACATTAATAAGAAATACAAATCAATATTTGTATCAAGTATTTAAACATATTTTTTCAAATATAAGAACAAAATGGTGATACCAAAAGGGAAGAGAAACTGGGGGTTAAGTTGGATTAAATGGGTCAACTCTATGTTGAAGGGAGGAAACCAGACATGTGGTGAAGAACAAAATATAGTAGTTACAGATGCTGATTTATAATGCTGTATACCTAAAACCCAAGTAATGTTATAAACCACTTTAATTCAATTAAAAACATTAGAAAGAATCTTTTTAAAAGGAGATGGCCTAGGAATTTAGGCTTCAGATATGTATATGGAATCTACTGACAAAGCCAAGATGATTCATGCTTCTAAACAGATACCCACCCTTTCTGCTCTCTTGAAAGAAGGGCTGCAAAGAATCAACCCAAACACTTATCCAAGAAAATTACTATTTTGTCTCTGTAAACCAGTATACTATTAGTTTGCACAATAGACTATCTCCCCGCTATCTTTATTTTCTCCTACTCTAGACATTTGCAAGTAGGATTCACTGATAGGAATGGAAATTTTTGTTTCCATTTCATGTGCTTTTTCAAATTTTAGAAATCAAACTTATTTAAAAAATTATGCATTCATAGTAATCTGTGTCCAAATAAAGAGGTTTGGGGGAAAAAAACTAACATAAAGGGGGAAAGATGTTCAGTTTAAGGATATTATTTGGAGGTAGACACCTTAACTACCCAAATATACTTTTACATTGCACCCCCCCCCTTCTTCAGATTATGACAGTCTTATAAAGGGTTTTCTGTTATAAAGAAGGCACTTCTTTAGGCTTTCAGAATCTTAAAAATAAAAAAATAAAGGTTTTGATGAATGAAGATTAGGCTTGTAAGAAACCTAGAACAAATAATGAAATGTCCTTTTCAAAAGTGTTTTAAATGAGATTGAAATAACTTTTATTCCAAGTCTATGAGTCTTTTATTGTAAGTCTTTCTTTGATTTGAAAAGTAAACAAATGCAGCTACTAGATAAAGGTCTTATTTAGGGAGATTGTGGGCCAGTTAGATTGAAGAAAATCCTGACACTTGAAAAAAGGATTTTTTTAAAATAAAAAGATTGGGAGGTGATTGAACGGCCAGGATATTATTCTATTTCATGGGAAAGGAAAATGCCTGGGCTGGGTTCTAACATAGCCGAGTTACTCCTACTCCTAAGCAGTTTGTAGATGCTGGATTGTAGGGATGTCCTGTCAACTATCAACTAATCGAGGCATCCCATTCCCCAAACCTCGATGTGTGGGGCCTCTGTCCACTAGAGCGTGGCAGAGGCGGGGCCCAATGCAAACAAAGCCCCAGACCGTAGCAAAGCAACACTTCCTCGCCGATCTCCTCGTACCTTCTCCACCCCGATCTTGCCTTCCAGCACCGCTCCTGCCCTCCTCCCCCTGCCTGCTCTCCGCCCGGGCTTCTGCTCACACACGTCTGCCATTCCCTCCTGACGCAGCCTCCAACCCCACCGCTCGCTAACCCCGGTGCCGTGAGCTCGCTCAAGATTGGGTCCCTGCGATGGAGACCCGCTCGGGTTTGGGACCCCACAGGCAGCCGCCCTTCGGCCAGCGCGCCCAGGATGGAGTCACGCTCCCCAGCTCCTGTCATCTCGGTCTGGGCTGCTCAGTCCCTTCTTCACCAACCACACTTTTCCGGCCCCGTCCCACCCGCGCTGCCAGCCAACCTGGGCTCGGCCTTTTGGGATGACCGTCACGCCCCGACGCGGGGCTCCAGCGGCCGGACTTCAGCTCAGCCGGGCTCTCCCCTGCCACCTGTCTCTCCACCACCTCCACCAGCGACTGCCCTACTTGACGCCGCCATCCCGGGCAGCCACACTGGGCACAGTCCCCGCTGCCTATTGGCTGTTACCTAGGCAACTGGGAGCAACGCCATTCCCCATTGGCCCGGCCCGGGCGCTGCGCCATCTTTGTGCGGGGCGGTGTGTTCCGAGAGTCTGGGGCCAAATATCCGAAAAAGGGGTGGGGCTGAACCCCTCCTCTCACCTTGGCTACCCAGATACAGCTCCGGTCTGGCGGGTCCAGAGACCCGCCGGTGGAAAGGGCAATTCCGAGCAAAGCAACACCTGCGTCAGAAGCATCATCGATCCGATTCTGTTCCTTTCTCCCTAACTATAAATAGCTCCGAGTTTAAGGACAGAACCCAAGCCCGGCTTTTGAGGTGCAAATTGTAAATCTTACAAAGACTGGGCCACTGTAGCTAACGAGTGTCAACCTTGCACCTGCACTGTGTCTTTTGAATCCCCTTTGAATGCACTTTCGCATTCATCGCAGGGATTTGCGTTGTCGTCACAACTCAGATCTTTTGTGTTTAAAATATAGGGTTAAAATCAGGCACATCTTTTCAAATACCATGCATCAAGCAATTTATCTATATGTTTATTACTGACCATTATGAGTGCAAAGTGATGCTAGGTTCTGCAAGGGTAGAAAAAGACATGATCACGGTCCTCATGGACACTAACACCTAAATAAGACAAGGTTCAGGTACATGGAAAAATTCAAGACTATATTTAATACTTAAGAGAAAGCAAGCGCATGAAGAGAGTAAGCAAATTACTTCTCTGAATTGGAATTTCCTTATCTGTAGGATAGGAAACACTACTACGATTTACTACTAATGGCTTACCAGGTCATAGGGGAGGAGAGAGTTTAATGATGAAGGGGAACAAAATAAGATGCCCCCATATGTGCCACTTTGACATATGGATTATGTTGAGCTGAAGGCAATTCAAGACACAGCAGACTCTAGAAAAACTTTTACCTCTTCCTCAATGACTGTAAAGAATTTCAAAGGGGGCCTATGCCAGAAAAAGAGTGATTATCAAAGACAACTTTTTTTTTTTTTTGTCTAAAAGACCTGTCTGCATGGCAGGACAAACATCTAATAACCAAATATCTGCTTTTCTTACTGTCCTATGAACTATCTTCCTCCTCTTTGAAGCACCAGGCCCCTAGCCCCATTCCTTAGCTCTGGATGGCTAATAAACTTCAATTGTTCAACTTGCCCTTGAGTTTCATGTCTCTGAGCTCCCATATGTATATAATTACATTTGCTTTTTCCTGATAATGTGTCTCATATCAATTTAATTATTTAACCTAGTCCAAAAACTGAAAAAGGAGGAAGGGAATTTTTTCCCACCTCTGGGGCATGATTATTGCTATTTTATAGATGAGAAACTGAGGCTTATGGAGTAAAACAACTTGTTTAAAATAACCATTAAGTGTGGAGCCAGGGTTCAGACTTAAATGTCTCTGATTCCCAACTCCATGCTTCGCATCAGTACATCCCACATTATAGCAGGTAGTGTTACTGATAATATGCATTTTAACTGAAAGAGTATTTCACAGGTTCAAGTACGTAAGTACTCTGGCTAACTATATGTCCTCCTTTAGATGCCACCCCAGTCACCCCAGATTATTGCTTGGTGCCTGTGTCTGGAATTTGTTCCCCACGACCGACTGTTCAGGTAGGCTACTTTATGGAAGCACTCAACCCCCAGTCAGCAATTGGAAGCTAAGGGCGGGGCGGGGCTGGTCGGAGCGGAGGGCTGGTCGGCCCAGGTCTGGCTCCAGGAGCACGCGCAGTCTTCACAAACGGTGACGTAAGAAAAACGCGGCGGGGGCGACCGCGTAGGGGCCGGTTCTGATTGGCCACCGTTCGCGCGCGAGGGGTCGTGCCTACTCGTCGCCAAGTAAACAGGGAAGGTAGAGGCGGGTCAAAGAGGCCCCGCGACGTGATTGGCCAGGCGGGGTGGGGGCGTCGTGGATTGGTTCCGGCAGCAAGCTCAGCTGTGTGGAGCGCGCCGGGCCGCGGAGCCGGCGGCCTGAGGGATGGACGAGACGAGCCCACTAGTGTCCCCCGAGCGGGCCCAACCCCCGGAGTACACCTTCCCCTCCGGCTCGGGTGCTCACTTTCCGCAGGTGCCGGGGGGTGCGATCCGAGTGGCGTCGGCGGCCGGCCCGGTCCCTTCTCCGCCGGGCTCGCCAGGCCACGACCGGGAGCGGCAGCCGCTGCTGGACCGGGCCCGGGGTGCGGCGGCCCAGAGCCAGACCCAAACCGTGGCGGCGCAGGCCCAAGCCCTGGCCGCCCAGGCCGCGGCGGCGGCGCACGCCGCGCAGGCCCACTGCGAGCGAAACGATTTTCCCGAGGACCCTGAGTTCGAGGTGGTGGTGCGGCAGGCCGAGGTGGCCATCGAGCGCGGCATCTTCCCCGAGCGCATCTACCAGGGCTCCAGTGGAAGCTACTTCGTCAAGGACTTGCAGGGGGTGAGAGCGGGCTGTTGGCTTTGGGGACGGTGGGTCTGTCCGGGGGAGTTTAGGGCTTCGCACGTCCAGCGGGAGAAGGGGGGCTGTGAGACTGCAAAAGAGGGAAACTTCACCGTGCGGAGCCGCTTGGCAGGATTTCGGGATGTCACTAAGGACTGGTCTTGGGAAAGCTCTGCGGATGAAGAAATAAATCAGAACCTGCTTGGTGGGGGAGGAGTGAGCGGAAAATGAAAAGAGGAAATTGACCAGATACACGCAAGACACTTTGTAGTGTGATGGGGCAATCTCAGCCTATCAGAGGACAGAGAGGCTGGGGGATGCTGCTTTCTAGAGGTTCCTTTTTCTTCATTTCTGATTCCTCAGCTTTAGACTGTTGAAACTACTATTAGGTCATTGATCTACAGATTTGAGCTCGGGGCCTGTTCTCTCCTTTTGGACTGATCTGTTCGGTGTCTGTAGAGACGTTCTCCCTTCGACTGAACTCTTTTTGTCACTGTGCTTTGAGGAGGATGGGTGACCTGTCAGGGACTCTGACGGGTCAGTTCCAGCCTTCTGTATTGTGGGATGTGTCCTGCCACCGTCCCAGATCTCTTATTGGCAGACATTGGTGATATGAGTGGGTGGACTCACCAGTTTCATCTGTTTTGGTTATTGCTCACTCTGGGAAATTGTTCAAATCCTCTTTTATGGTTCCTGAGTTTGGAATGAAAAACACGGGGCTCTCAGCCACTTTTTACTTTCATTTCTCTCTCATGATTATTAATTTGCTTTCCAACTAAAGCATAGTGTTTGCTGACCTTTATTTCGTCCCCTGTGTGTGTGTACGGGAGGATGGGGTGGGATGGGAATGGGGCATGGAGTGACCTTTCTCCTGTTGAGAACTGCACAACAATCTAAGCATCTAGATCAAATCACAGGTATCATTGGAAGAGCAGTGGGTCAAAACATTTCTTCTTCCCTGTCAAAGTTCTCCGATTGTACCAGGATGGTTTATTAGGGAAAAGTATTATTATATTTATTAAACTGATGGGTGTTAAAGTTCTCTCAAAATTTCCCTGCGTCTCTCTTATGTGAACTTTTTAAACGGATGGTGTATTGTTTTGATAGGAATGCGAGTGATCAGGATGGGCTGTGACTCGTAGCTCTTCGTTAGATTCATTCTCCAGATGTCATCGCTGGATTATGAAGAATCAGAGAGTAATTCTATCATCAATTCAGTTAATATAAACTGAGTTGGGGAAAGCTTTGAGAATAATATATCTTCCTAAGTTCTTCAAATACAGAAGCAGTAAGTTAAACTGAAAGCTCAAAGGAGAACCATTCACTGTTAGAAGTAAAGAAGGGTAGGTATCCTGAGGTCTAGTTGTTAGCAACATGCTTTCATTTTTTTTTTTTTTTTGTAAGTGAACCAGAATGAGATCTGATGTATGAGGGTTTTTACTTTCATTGTTTGTGTGTGTGTGTGTGTGTGCGCGCGTGTGTTTTAGCTTGTTGGGTGATGGAAGAAGGGACAGAGATTGTCTTTGAGAGGTAGAGCAGTAGGAGGAAGGCTTTTGTTTTTCTTTCATGACACTGTTACAGCTCTGCCGGAAGTATGTCAGGTCAGCTGAGAAGTGATCTGGTACTCTGACAGGTGGGAGTAATAGGATCTCTCAGTTGTACCTGGCAGGTAAAGTGCTACCATCTCAGTGTATAAGACAGAGAATCATAGACTGTGGGTATATTTCTTGGTGATTTGCAGGATCCCAGTCTCTGAAATTTCCCGGCCACTGTCCTTTCTTAGAGGGGAAGTCAAAACACATGTGCTCTGTCAAAATTCATTAATGTAACCATCCTGCTTCCATTGAGGAAATGTAATTTAGAGTAGAAGACCACTTCCTAAATGCTGTCGTGGGCTATACTGGCCCACAGACTCCCTATAATTGGGCTTGTCATATTTGGCCTTGCTCCAAATGCATTTACCTTGTTTAACAATTGCTTAGATAGCACTTACTATATGCCAGCTACTATCTTAAGTGCTTTACAAATAATAACAACAACCTCAATAACATCCTTGAAGATAAGTAATATTATTATCCTTGCAGGTGATAACACTCAGGCACTCTCTCTAAAGAATTCGCGCAGCATCTAGAAGCTAGAGAGTGGGAGGCAAGATTCAGACCCAGATATACTAACTCCTGAGTTCATGCTCCTAACCAGTATGCTCTCCTCCCTCTGAGTTAGTCACTGAATTTCTGATTTCTCTTTTCAGCTAGAATATAGTCTTGGCTATGTATGGCAGAAAATTTAAAATTTTAAATAATAACTTGAATAAAAGTAATAAGAGTCCATAACTCTCATAAAAGAAGTCTACTGCTCAGGGCTGGTGTGGGATTTTGTTTTATCGGGGGTGCAGACTCCTTCCATCCAGCTGATCAGCTGTCCTTAGCATGTAGTTTCTACTTTGGGATCCTTTGTGATTACCCAAGACATCTTGTATACTCTTCAGTCAAGTTTTAGGAAGGAAAGGGGATATAAGCTCCCTCTCCCTTTAATACATTTCCAAAACGTTGTGCCAGATTCTTCTTCTTATATTTCGTTGTTTAGAAGTTAGCTGCAGTGGTGACTAGGAATTAGCCTATATCTTGCCCAGCTAAAACTCAGGGAGCTTGTGTCCAAAGAAAAGGGAACAATGATTGGGGGAACCAGTGGTTCTTATAACAGTTGCTTTTGCAGATAGAAAGTCCAAAAGGTTCTTGAAAATATTAGCCCTAATTCTACGTCCCGGTTAGGATGAGTTCTCCCTCAGGGCAAACAAATGGGTACCTGGAACAGCAAGATGGAAAATGCCAGATCAGAAATCTTGGTAGAGAATACTCATATTACCCTCTTCACTTACATCCTTGTCCTCAGGTCTCATGCCCAGTCACCTACAGAAGTGTTTTTTGAACATTTTCTCTTTTATGAGGCTAGCACTAATATTAGTTCATATTTACAAGAATCATAGAGAAGCATGTGATTCACTAGTATATTAAGAGGATTAAAATGAGATCTCACACATGAAAGCCCTGGCATAGTTCCTGGTGCTTAGCAGGAGATCAGCATGTTTTGTTTTGTTTTGAAGTTACATGCTTATTGACCTCAGGATTAGACTTTCTTGGTTACATGGCATTGAATAAAGTAAAAGTAGTATAATTTTGGGAAGATGCTTTCATGACCATTGAGGATAGTAATTCAATTACCAATAGTAATTGGTATTTCCTCCAAATTTTTACAGTCACACTCACATTTTCTAGGAAATTGGCCTTCATCAGTAATTACCAGGCATTTAAAAACCATGGGTTTTTTACAAATATAATATGGTATTTTTTCCCATTTTTCAAATGTAAAACTATAATACTGAATGTCCTTCTTCTAGCTATCTGTGCCCTCCAAGAAATTCTGATGTCCTTGTGCTTGGTTGAGAACCACACTCATAACTATCACCAAATAAAGACTCTCAAACAGAATAATTTTTTAAAACTAAAAGGTTAAGAGGCAGTCATGTTTGCATATCATCTATAATTGTAGTTCCTGAGATTTAAAGCATCATCTACTCTCTGTTATAGGGAGACAAGCAGGTCATAGTTTTAAGGCTGAGGCAGGCTGGGTCAGTGGCAGTGAATGGGAAAATAATGATAGGCTACATCTCTTTTATAACATTCAATTTGGATCTGTCTTCTTTCAGGGTCTTATATACTTGGAGCAGATCATCCCTGTCTTTTGTGAGGATAACATGTAAATAAGACTTTCTTCCAACCTCTGGAACAGAATACATCAGTTCTCAGAAATGATTCCGGGGCCTGAAGTAGTACCTTCTTGGAGTCCACAGATCAAAATTATTTCATATTAATTAATTTTTAAAAGATTTATTTATGCATACAAGAGCTGAGATACAGATCAAAGGTGTGGAGGGTGAGAGGATTTACCAGAGACAGAGTGGGGAACAGAACAGGCAGACTGACTGAAGTACACTGCTGAGGGGAGCAGCCGGCGAGACAAGAGAGGTCTGCTGCACCATATATGGGTTAGCTCCTTGGCTGGGGATCGAACTCGTGTTGCAGAGGCTGCGGACGGCTTCATAGGTAACGTCTTAACCCCTTGTGCCACCAGGGAGGCCCATTTCATATTAATTTAAAGACTTTGTTTTCCTTTTTCAATCTAATTTCTTTAAGCGTATAGAGGGGAGATTTCCAGAGGCTGCAGGATGTGTGATATCAAAACTGGTTGAATACTAAAGGAAGTTCTATTCTATTAACCCAAACGCTAGGGAGATTTGCAAAAATGTAAAACAATGCCATTCTTCTCACTGAAAATTGTTTTTAAAAAGTTGCTTTTCATGGGCCTTCCTGGTGGCGCATGGGGTTAAGCACAGCCCTATGAAGCAATCCGCAGCCTCTGCAGTAGGAGTTCGATCCCTGGAGGTCAGGGAGCAACCCATATGGCGCAGCAGACCTTTCCTGTCTTGCCAGCTGCTCCCCTCAGCAGTGTATTTCAATCCGTCTGCCTGTTATGTTCCCCACTCTGTCTCTGATGAATCCTCTTACCACCACCCCCACCTCTGGCCTGTACCCCAGTACTTGTATGCATAAATAAATAAATCTTTTTTAAAAAAGTTACTTTTCATAACAACGTATCCCTTAGGTTAACATGTAATGGATTTATTTTTATTATTAAGTGAATTAATGCTTTTAACATTTCATTTTTAATTTCTGCTATTAGAAAATACAGATTTTGCCCACAAAAACAAAGGTGTTTGGGCTCCTTAATAATTTTTAAAAGTTTGAAGGTATGTTGAGACCCAAAAGTTTGAGAGCTGTCTACTTCATTCTTACCAAACTTAAAAAAAGAACAAACTTGTTTTGTTAAGTTATTTCTGTATATATTTCACTGTGCAACATGTTATGTGCTTGACTGTCCTAGATTTTCACATGGCATAATACCTTCCTTAGGGCTACTGGAAAGATACCAGAAATCCTTTGTTTCCAGTTTCCAATGAATAACCTCTTGCTTCCTCATGCAATTCTGTTTTTATCTCCAACTTCTTGCTGCTGCTTAAGCTTCCTGTACCTTACCTTCTTCATTAAAAGAGAATTAGTAAGTGAATGTTAAGGAAAAGTGTTTTGAAAATATTGGCATTAAACTGAAGCTTTCTTCTAAATGCAATGAAGGAATTGAATGTACATTAAAGAAGAGAGAGAATGGTAAGAAAAAAATAAGCAGTAATTACTTTATTTCTCAACCAAAGTGGTCAGTGTCTTTCTAATTTGAATGGTTAAGTTGATTTCTCTGACTAAGGAGAGTGTTCTTCATTATTCAGTAACACAGTTGATTATGTAAGATGAACATTAGCTTTGGAAATTAGGCCAGTGATTTACTTATATATCTAATTAGCAACCCCTCAGAGCGTTCACACAAACTTGGTGCTGAGCAAGTGTTAATAGAACCAAATTGGTCTGAGGCCTACACTTAGTCCTGAAAAGCACTTGTCTCTCTTTCTGTCTGAATGTCCGCCTGTTCCTCCATCCTTCCCACTCTACCATTCCCCCATTTGTCCAGTCCAGGCACTATTATTTATGAAACCCTTGTAATACTAACATGCTTTTAGAGTTGGTGAAATGCTTTCTGCTTATCCGTATGGTGAGAAGAAATCGAAAGTTTGAGAATTCAGTCTGCAAATGATGATTGGCTGCTGTCTTAGCCTACAGTTTCCGGTTTCTTTAAGTGGAGTATTTAAATCTCAGTCCTGATGTTTTCCAGTCCCTGCTAGTATTAGGGATATCTTAGTTTTCCATTTGGGGACCGGCTTGTTGAACTCCATATTGTACCTTAGTTGAACTGTTGGGCTCTAGGATGTGTGTCAGGTTGTCTTGTGGTTTCACTGCCCAGGTTCCAGAGTTTACTGTGGTCTCCTCAGTGGTTCTCTGAGTGGCCAGCCCCTTACTGGTACTTCTGTGTGGTTCAGAGCTGACACAGAGAAGAAGCAGAGATAGAGAGGAAGATTGCTACTTAGGCCTCTTACTAGCCACTGTGGATAAAAAATATAATTCTGAAGACTTTTGACATGAATATATGCATTGAACTTTTTTGGGGGGTATGTTTGCTGTGTTTAAGAATATATTAATTCTTTTGGAGGGAGGAGGAACATTCTGTATTTCTCTTACCGTCTCAGATCCTTGCAAGGCTTCTTGAAGGAACTGACCCCAAATTGATTAGTAATTGTTGGAGACATGTACCTAGCCAGTTCTTCATATGAGTACTTAATGCAGGCAGATAGATGAGTGTTTTATGCTGTGACCTGCCATTCAGGAAGTGACACCCACGGGAAAATGTCTTATGATCTAGACTAGCTTAAGTTCGCTGTGGGGTAAAGGGAGAGGGAGAGTCATATGACATGAAGATGAATCACTGGAGTATATACTATACTTTCTTTGAAATTACCAGTTTGGGGACAGGAGGGAAGGAGGGCCTGCTGACCGGGGGCAGAGACCTTCAGGAGGGACGCCATAGTTCCTGAGCTGCAGCAGGACCCCATATTTCCAGGCACCTTTGAGGATTCAGTTACCATCCGCTAGGGAAGATGGATTTTAATCCTTGTGGCATTTCCTGTCTTGATTTGTTGCCCATCACATTTACTTAAAAGAACTCCATTCTAACCAGGTAGCAGATTCCTTTACCTGCTATGATTTTTCTCCTTTGTTGCTTTTTTATTTTGCCATACCTAACCTTTTATTTTAAGGTCTTATTAATACTCAGGAGGTGGGGTAGTAAAACTGATAGAGGAAATCAACCATTAATGAAGGAATTGTCTTACCCTCATTTCTTTTTTTTTTTTTTTTTAAAGATTTATTTACACAAGCACTGGATACAGTCAGAAGTGCGGGAGGGTGAGAGAATTCACCAGAGCCAGAGCGGGGAACAGAACAGGCAGACTGACGAAATACACTTCTGAGGGGAGCAGCGGGCGCGGCAGGAGAGGTCTGCGCCTTGTGGGACCCTTGCTGGTAGCCGGGGATCGAACCGGCGCTGCAGAGGCTGTAGGCAGCCTCACAGCCCAGCGCTCAACCACTGCGCCACCAGGGGAGGCCCTTGCCCTCCTTTCTTAATACTTGATTTGCCTCTGTTGATTATTTTTTGACTTTACACAATTGACACAGAGTAACAGTATGTTCGTATGTACCTTGGAAGTTGGGATTTGATGGTGTTCAATTTCTGTTGTACATAGCAAACTTGGAAACTTCTTTGGCTATAGCCTTTTCTAAATAGTGGGTTCGTTCCTTGCACACGTGAGTTGGTGTCTTCCCCTTAGAAGCTGGGGAGAGGGTTGTGTCTGACAGTAAGTTGGGGTTTTCTGTCTTTGCCCTCTCTCTTTTTGTACATCTGTCCTTTAAAATACCATTTTGTTTTGTTACTGCCTGTAGGAGTGGCCTGCGTGGGGTGGTGGGCATGCTGGGCTCAGCATGGGCCTGTGAAGAGAGGATGACAATTGGGAGGCTGGAAGGAAAGGGGTTGTGTCTGGAGGCCAGGCCTAAGGCCTGCTGAGATTTACTTCTGGTAGCAGGTAGACTTCATAAAGGAGTCATGGTGCCTTCACCCTCTCATTTCCTTCTAGAGTCCTGCTGTTTTGGTCTGTAAGCTAGTTTAATCAACTTGCCCTTAACGTCCTCTTTTTTTTATTTTATTTTATTTTGTAGAAGATTATTGCTGTCTTCAAACCTAAGAATGAAGAGCCTTATGGACAACTGAATCCTAAATGGACCAAGTGGCTGCAAAAACTATGCTGTCCCTGCTGTTTTGGCCGTGACTGCCTTGTTCTCAACCAGGGCTATCTTTCAGAGGCAGGGGCCAGCCTGGTCGATCAAAAACTGGAACTCAACATTGTACCTCGTACAAAGGTCAGTGACCTGTCTCCAGGGAACCTTACTGCCTGGCCAGACTTTTCCTGGAGTCAAAGCCAGGCTACATGTTAGTGGGACTGCTAGGTCCAGTGAGGGCTATTTATGCTCCTATTTATGCTCAGCCTTTTGGGACAGGGTGGTAGGTTTAAGCTCATGATTTGATGTGATGAAAGTGATCCTGAGAAGGAAACACATGAAATTTTTGCATATTTTTTGGAAGATCTCTGACCTTCTGTGCATATTTATGGGTTCCCTGTATATTTGTATCCCAGATAACCTCAAGCTGGTTAGGAACCTGTTGACTGTTGTGGATCACTCTCTGAGAGTTCTGTGCCATTTAGTTCCTTTCTAGAATGGGCTAGCTGATAATCATCTGAGTACTTATGCATGATCTGGCAAGGAGAACTGTAGATGGACTGGCAATTAGAACAAAGGTTTGACCTAAACCTCTATAGTGAACTGACATGAACTTCTCCTCAGCCATCCTTATGCTATGCATTCTGGTGCTTGTCTAACTGTCTGGGCCTTAGTCCTCTCTGAGAGTCTGATGAAAACTATAGATCTTGGGCCTTCCTGGTGGCACAGGGGTTAAAGTCTCAAGCTATTGCCAGCTACTGCGGCACCCACATGGGCAGATCTCTCCTGTCTCACCCGCTGCTCCCCTCAGCAGTGTATTTCAGTAGATTTGCCTGTTCTACTTCCCACTCTGTCTCTGGAGAATCCTCTCGACACCCCCCCCCCCACACACACACCTCTGGCCTCAACCCCAATTCTTGGATGCATAAATAAATCTTAAAAAAAACAACAACCTGGGCCTCCCTGATGGTACAAGGGGTTAAGATACAGACTATGAAGCTATCTGCAGCCACTGCAGCATGAGTTCGATCCCCAGCCAGGGAGCTACCCACATGGCACAGCAGACCTCTCCTGACTCGCCCATTGCTCTCCTCAGCAGTGTATTTCACTCAGTCTGTCTGTTCTGCTCCCCACTCTGTCTCTGGTGAATCCTCTCACTCCCACACCTCTGGCCTGTACCCCAGTTCTTGTGTGCATGAATAAATAAATCTTTTTTTTTTTTAAAAAAGCTATAGATCTTGTTCCCAGAAAAAACACATCTATTAGCAGTTATTATTTTATATATAATTATAAATATAATTTTCAGGGGGATGATTCATAGACAAGTTGAAGTCTATCCATTTACTCCCTAGGGACCATGCCTCTAGATTAAAAACCCCTGCTTGAGGTTTTCTTTGAAGGTTTAAGTAGCAGATTCTGTGGGCAAAGAGATTGATCAGCAGGTAGGAACTTCCCTTCAAACTTTTTTTTCCTTTTTCTGTTTTACCAGGATATATTAGGAGCAAATGTGGCTGTTGGGAATGTTTAACTGTGCCTGCTCCTTTGCCATCAAACTCCAAACAATAAGCCTGTTAGTTTTGTAAGTTTGTAGTAGTCTGGACTTCTTGAAATTTCTTGAAATTTCCTTCTCTCATCCTAGCAAAGCACTATACTTCCAGTAAGCACCAGCTGAGTCAGTAAATGACTATCAAACCACAGGAAACAATACCAGAGAGCCTAAACTTCAGGTCTGCGGAGAGAATATTTGATTGTAGTTTCAGGCTTGTAGCTCTTTTACTGCCTAATCTTGTGCAACTCATTCTTTCCTTTGTGCCTCAATTCTCTCTCTATGCATCTAGTCAAATAGCACACTTTGACCATCTTGTATGATAATTAATGCTCTTGAGATCTCCTGCCTAACCTGAAATCCTCCTACTAGGCCCCTCCTAGACTGTAGAAACTCTTTTAAGTACTCCTTGCTCATCAATGTAATTTCCTTTTTTTTTTTTAATCTTAAATTTTATTTTTATATTCCCCCATACAATTGCAAACGCCCCATTCTGACCCCAATCCTTCCCCTCCCGCCTCCCACCCCCCAAAAAGTGTCTCTGGTTCATAGTTTTTTGTTGATTTTGATTTTCACTTTCTTATATTCATTTTCCTGGTCCCTTATTTAAGTTTTCTAGATTCCTGCTATGAGTGAGACCATCCGGTATTTTTCTTTTTGGCTTATTTCGCTGAGCATGATCCCTTCCAGCGCCATCCATGTTGCTGCAAATTAATTTCCTTTCTTTACTAGGTAAATAGCTGGCTGCCCCGGGCCTGTGCCTGCCTGTTCTGCCTATGCTTCTGGAATGCAGTGGCCAAGAATTAGAGGGCTTGAGTCAATTTTAGCTCTGCAGCTTTTTAATGGGTCACCCTCGGGCAAGTCATTTAACACCCCCTCCTCTGTTCTGTTTTTTACCACTCATTTTGTACCCCTCAGTTTCCTCTCTATAAAAATAGGGATATAGATAGTTCCTACTTTTATAGGGTGGCTTTTAAGATTATGTAATATATTCCACATAAACAGTGCATGGCACAATATAAATACTCCATACCTATTAGCTTGGGGTATTTTTATGACTAATCTGTAATGTTACTTTCCTCCACCCCCCAATCCTTTTTTTCCCCCATCTCTGGTCTTCCTCTTCCCTATTAGAGAATCTTAATGAGGGCTGATGATCTTTTGCATCAAAGATTCAGCAGCAGCTAAAACACTAGCTACATGCGACTGAGACGTGAGAGAACTTTGCAAGCTTTACATACAGCTGCTAGAGAATAGTAGGAGGAAGTCTCTTCCCTCTTGGCCTCCCCACCCTTGTGACAGGATTCTATCCGGTCGATCAGAGGATCTGTCACTATGGAAACAGGGCTCATATTGTATGGGATTTCAAATAGTAGGGCTCTAATTCTCACTGCCTAGCTGTTTCTGCTCTGTGTTTTTGTGAGGTTTCAGATTTTGATAGCTTCATTAGTCATAGAAAAAGTGGTTTTAAAGCATGATCAAAAATAAATCTGATAGGGCGTGGGGAAAAAGGGTTATTTATGGCTTGAGATAACTGGGGTTTTTACCATGGAAACTGGCAAGGTGATCTTAGGAGAACCTTTTTTTCCACTTTCTTCTTGTGCCTGTGTTTCCTGATTTTTAAGGCAGGGAGTGCCAACCTGTAGCACCTTTCACATCCCCTTTAGGTACTCATACTGGATGGACCGATGGATGAATGAATAGATCAACAGGTGGGAGGGAGGGAATTATTTTGCTGCAATCTCTCTCTTTATGTTCTCTTAAGTATTTTGATATGTTATTTCACTTATATGTTTCATTGATATGTTATTTCATTAGTTATTTGCAATAAATTTTGCAAGGCTTAGAAAAAAATTTTCTTAAAATTTAAAATTTTAGGTATTTCTCTGCTAAAACCAACTTGTTGCTACCTATGAAAACTCTGAATGTAGGGCCTTCCCGGTGGCGCAGCGGTTGAGCGCTAGGTTGTGAAGCTGCCCACAGCCTCTGCAGCACTGGTTCGATCTCCGGTAGCTCCCTGGCCACCAGAGGAGGGTCCTACATGGTGCGCAGACCTCTCCTGCCACCCGCTGCTCCCCTCAGCAGTGTACTTCGGTTCTTCTGTCTGCTCTGCTCCCCGCTCTGGCTCTGGCGCGTTTTCTCACCCTCCCCCGCTTCTGACTGTACCCAGTGCTTGTATAAATAAATAAATAAATCTTTAAAAACAAAAAAAACTCTGAATGTAACTTATTCATTCATTCACTTAATATTTAGTGATCATGTGTCAGGCACTGTGTTAGGTGCTGAGGATTCTAATGTGAATAAGATGTTCTCTTATTCCCCAAATTTCATTAGTCTTAAGAGAGAAATTATATATATGAATGGATACTCACAAGACAGTGTGGTAGGTGTGATAATAAAACTACATATGGATTATGATTATAGTGATATCACAATTTTATAATCAAATGTAATACTAATGGCCCATTTTAAAAATGTTTTTTTTTAATAGGCCATGTGCATACATCTAATGCAAATATCAGAAGGCACCCTAAAATAAACAGGGAAGAGCAATTTAGCCCTTCTTTCACCTCTGTTTTTTACCACTCAGTTTTTTTTTCCCCTTTGAGGCAGCTGCTATTACTAGTTTCTTGTATAATATTACAGATACAGTCTGCATAACTAAGTGTATGTATAGCAATGTAGTACAAAATCCAAAAGAAGAGTATAGGGTATGTTGCAACTGTGGTTTAGTACAGTCGGAATTAATTTCTTGCTTACATCATAGATCCAGACCAGGTAGGCAGCTCTACTACAGTCCATGTCATGACAAGGGGTCTAGGATCCTTCCATGATGTGATTTTGCTATTTCAGAGCCCTTCATTTTCAGCTGCACAGATTGGGGAATATGAACTAAGAGTCATGGGAGATTTTAGGGATTAGGCCTGGAAGTGATGTACATGTATTACTTTGTCAAATTCCTCTTGTCCAAAGTAATATATACCCTATCTTAGCTTCTATCAAAGCTGAGAAATGTATTCTTTCCATGTGCCCTGAAAGAGGGACAGTATTGGTGAGCATCTGGCTATTCCCTGCCATAGTTCCATGAACTTGACACTAACCTAGGTATTGCTTCTCTTTCCACTGTAGGTAGTATACCTGGCCAGTGAGACCTTCAACTATAGTGCCATTGACCGAGTGAAATCCAGGGGCAAGCGGCTTGCATTAGAGAAAGTGCCAAAAGTTGGGCAGAGGTTTAACCGCATCGGGCTGCCACCAAAGGTATAGACTGCACTTATCTGGCTTATCAAAGGGGATTTGTAGTGGTATAACCATCTAAGTGGTGAAGCAGGGTGCCTGCAGACCTGCCTGGAAGCTCCCGTCCTCATTTCTGTCAGGGTTCTACCGTTCGGAGAATAATTCTCCCGAGAGTGGAGACCTTAACTTTATCACTTTATTCCTTTGGACTGTTTAAATGGGCCTCTTGGATTTTGTTGGGCTGTCATTGTCACACCCTTTTTCTCCTATACTTGCAAGGAAATGAAGAAGTAAAGGTCTTTACCACTTTCTCCTTTAATGATAAACTACAGTCCTTGTTGGATATCTGGCTTAATGCTGGGGTCTTTGGACTTAGGCGCTAGGGAAATACCTTTATTCCTCCTTCTTGGTTGCAGGTTGGTTCATTTCAGATCTTTGTTGAAGGCTACAAAGATGCAGACTACTGGCTACGGCGTTTTGAAGCAGAGCCTCTCCCTGAGAACACTAACCGGCAACTACTGCTGCAGTTTGAGCGCTTGGTGGTGTTGGATTACATCATCCGCAACACTGGTGAGTGTCTGTGTGGTTCTGTCCCTGTGCCAGACTGTGGTGAGGCACTTAACAGTGGAGACCTGATGGCTTGCAGACCTTGGTAGCAAAGTGCCTTGCCAGGATGAGTTGGTTTTTCCTAAGTCAGAAGTGTAGGCACATTCAGGGAGTCTCTGAATACTTTTTCAAGACAGGTTATATCCAGGCACATAACGTGCATTTATCAGTAGTGAGGCCTGGAGCCAGTATTTACATTTCAACCATAGCCTCTCCTGGTCTCTGGGAAAAGCCACTTGGCACTTCCAAAGCACCATAAAAAGTGCTCTAATCCTTGACCCCTAGTCATCGTTGCAGCAGCAAGACCTATCACAGAACAGTTTTGTCTTTTAAGTATCTTATATAAGCGGACTCATACAGTATTTGTCATTCTGTGACTCGTTTATTTCACTTAATGTACTCATTTGATTCATGTTGTAGCATATGTCAGAATACCTTTCCTTTTTAAAAAATAATATATGTTTGTGCTACATTTTGCTTATTCATTCTTCTTTCAATGGACATTTGAGTTGCTTTTACTTTTCAGTTATTAATAATGCTGCTATGAACATGGGTATACAGATATGTCTTTGAGATGCTACTTTCAGTTCTTTTGAGTATTTTGAGTATGCAGCTTTTCGAGTATTCAGAAGTAGAATTGCTGGACTGTATGATAATTCTATGTTTAATTTTTTGAGGAACCACTGTACTTTTCCCTCCCCACAAGGTTGCACTTTTATCCATTATTATCAGCAATGCACAGGAATTCCAATTTCTTTCCATCATTGCCACCATTTATTTTCTGGTTGTTTTTGACAGCTGATAGGTGTGAGGTGGCATCTCAAAGCTTTGGCTTGGATTTCTCTGTTGATTAGGGATTGGAGCATATTTTTGTGTGCTTTTAACCATATGTCTTCTTTGGACAAAGGTCCTTTGCCTATCTTCAAATCAGGTTATATGTTTTATTGTAGAAATTCTTTACATATTCTGGATACTAATCCATTATCAGATGGATAATGGATAATTATCCATTTGCAAATATTACCTCCCAATATGTGGTTTGCCGTTTTATTCTTTTGTTGCAGTTAATTTTTAAAATTTTCATGAAGTTCAATTCATGTGTTTTCTCTTGTCTGTGCCTTTAAGAGTCATATGTAAGAAATCATTGCCAAATCCAGTGTCACAAAGCTTTTTTTTTTCCTCAGTGTCACAAAGCTTTTGCCCTTTGTTTTCTTGTAAAATTTTCATAATTTTTGTTCTTAGATTTAGGTTAGGAGTCCATATGAATATCCATATGTGGATATTCAGTTTCCCAGCTCTCATTTGTTGAAAAGACTGACTTTTCCCATTGAATGGTCTTGCCACTCTTGACAGAATTCATTTGGCCCATATATGCAAAGGTTTATTTCAAGACTCTCTTTCCTATTCTGTGGGTCTGTAAATCTGTCTTTTTGCCAGGAATATGCTATTTTGATGACTTGACCTTCTTATAAGAATCATTTTGTAGTAAGTTTCAAAGTTTTGGAGGAAGTGTGAGTTTTCCAGGTTGGTTCTTTTTCTGGATTGTTCTACTGTTTGGAGTCCCTTGAGATTTTCTATGAATTTAGGATGAGTTTTTTTCTATTTTTGCAAAAAAAAAAAATCATTTGAGGGAGCCTCCCTGGTGGTACAGGGCTTAAAATCTCAGTGCTGGGGGCGGGGAGGGTGGGGAGAGGAAGGACTAGGGTCAAAATAAGAGGGGGTGCAATTGCATGGGGAATATAACCAAAATGAAAATGTATACATTGTGCAAAAATGAAAAATGATGTAAGAATTATATAAAATAAAATATTCACCCCCCCCCCAAAAAAAAATCTCAATGCTATCAAGCTATTGCCAGCCACTGTGGCATGAGTTTGATCCCTGGCCAGGGAGCTGAACCACATGGCACAGCAGACCTCTCTTTCTTGCCCGCTGCTCTCCTCAGCAGTGTATTTCAGTAGATCTGCCTGTTCTTCTTCCCACTCTGTCTCTGGTGAATCCTCTCACTCACCCCTCTAACCTCCTCACCTCTTGCCTACAGCTCAATTCTTGTGTGTGTAAGTAAATAAAATAAATCTTTAAAAAAAATTATTGGAATTTTGGTAGGAATTGCATTAAATCTGTAGATTGTGTTGAGTAGTATTGACATGTTAACAATATTAAGTCTTTCTATGAACATGTCTTTTCATTTATTATGTCTTCTTTAATTTTTTTTGGCAATGTCTTAGAGCTTTCGTTGCAAAATCTTTCACCTCCTTGGTTAAATTAATTCCTAAGTATTCTTTTTGATGCTACTGAAAATGGAATTGCTTTCTTAATTTCCTTTTGGGTTGTTCAGTGTTAGTGAATAAAAATGCAACTGACTTTTGTGTATTGACTTTTTATCCTTATACTTAGCTGTGACTCTGTTTTTTTTTCCTATTTTATTTTTAATTTTTAATTTTTTTAAACAATATTTTCTTCCTCCCACCCCCTCAGGTTGAGTTCCCTTAGAATTTCCTTCCCCAAGGCACCTGTACACCATCACTACAGTCTCCTGTTCTCTTCCCTTTCTCCCTGTGATTCCTCTCCCTCCTCCTCCCCTGCAGTATGTCTCTGATTTGTAATTATTTGCTTTTGCTTTGTTGTTTTTTGTACTGTTATTATTTTTTTTTACACTGATGTCTTATTTGATTCCCCTATATTCCTGTTGTAAGTGAAACCATTCGATATTTTTCTTTTTCCTTCTGGCTTATTTCACTGAGCATAATTCCTGCTAGCTTCATCCATGTTGCTGCGAATGGCATGAGTTTATCTTTTTGGATTGCTGAATAATATTCCATTGTGTATAAATACCACATCTTCTTGATCCAGTCATCTATTTTTGGGCATTTGGGTTGTTTCCAGTTTTTACCTATTGTAAATAGTGCTGCAGTAAACATAGAGGTACAGGTGTTCTTTTGAATCAGTGTTTTAGCTGTGACTCTATAGGGTTTTCTTTTTCTTTTTGGGAGGTGGGTGTCTATATTCTGCCCTTCTACATTTCTTTTGAGGGGGAAGGTATCTACATTTTGCAAACATATGAGTTTACCTCTTCCTTTCTGATTTAGCTCCCTTTTATTTATTTGTTTTTTCTGAATAGAAGTGGTGAAAGTAGGCTTCCAGGCCTAGATCTTAGAGGAAAAGTGTTTAGTCTTTCACCGTTGAATTTGTTTACTAGGGGTTTTCATTTTTATTATGGTGAGGTTGTTTCTTTCTACTCCTAGTTTATTTGGTGTTTTTATCAAAAAAGAATGTTGAATTTCATCAGATATTTTTTCTGCATCATGATGATGGTGTGTTTTTCCCTTCATTCTGTTATTGTGTTGGGTTACATTGATCAGATGGTACAAGTGTTACATTGCACAGATGGACTAAGTAAAATAGCTAGTCCACCATTACTGAAAGTGAAAGCCAGTTTTTCTACTAACTTTATATTTCTGTTGACAGATCGAGGCAACGACAACTGGCTGATTAAATACGACTGTCCCATGGATAGTTCTAGTTCTCGGGTAAGAGGTTGATCTGTATCTTGAAGAAGATGATGAGATAGAATATATGCATAATAAGGAAATACACATCATAGAGATTTAGGTCATATAAGTTCAGAAAAATCAGGATGGCACTTATGTTAAAAATGATAGATTAATAATTGGTATAGTTCTTCTTAATCTTTTTATTTAAGGAATATCCTACTAAAGGATTTTAGCAGGGATAAGTAGAAGAAAAGCTCAAATAAGTTTGGGACATATTACATACCTTGTGCCTTTCTTGGAGATTCACAGTACACAGCATGGTAAATACATGGAGAGTAGTGTATTAAATGAATCTATTGTGTTTGGCCAAGTGATTTCTAAACTTTACTGACCATGGAATACTTTTCTTATAGCAGATCACAATACTGTAGGACATAAGTTCCTGCAACTTTCTTTATTCACTCATTGCTTTCATATTCCACTCTTCTTTTTCCATGCTCAGGCTGAACATTTTTTAAAAATAGCAGGAAGTTCTCCCCCTCCCCCCTCCGCCATGGCACAGGGTTTAAGTCTCAGAAGCCACTGGTGCTTGAGTTTGATCCCCAGCCAGGGAGCTGACACACATGGCAACAGACCTCTCCTGTGTCACCCACTGCTCCCCTCAGCGGTGTATTTCAGTAGATCCGTCTGTTCTGCTCCCTGCTCTATCTCCGGTGAATCCTCTCACACACACCCCCCCCCCCACATACCTCTGGCCTATACTCCAGTTCTTGTATGCATAAATAAATAAAAATAAATCTTTTGAAAAATAGGAAGTCTACCTGGAGAAGAAAGAAGTTTGTTTTTATTCCTCATGGTGTTTTTTTTTTTTTTTCAGTTTTTTTGAGATATGATTGACATATAACATTGTGCAAACTTAAGATGTACAGTGTGATGATTTGATATACTGTTATAAAATGTTTAACCACATTAAGGTTAGTTAATACATTTTCATTGTGTTTTTAATTTTTAACTTCCTTCTCTAATAGTGATTCTCAAACTGCATACATCAGGATCACCTGAAGTGCTTATTTAAAAGTAGTACAGATTCTTCAAATCTTTCCCCCATTAAGTCAGGTAAAACTCAGGCATCCCAGGGGATTCTGGTGCAGGTGTCCTGGACCCACGCTACCTGTTCCTGCGATGGCACCAGTGAGCTAGAAGTGTAGAGCCAAGGACACAGTTGCGAGAATGTCTGATGTGGGCTCTCACAGGAAGCCTGCCCTACTCTGTTTATACTCACCTCTGCCCTTTCCTGTTTATGTATCACTCAAGCAGGGGAACAGGCTCCTGTATCCAAGAGCAGCCAACTGTTATCTCCCATGGTGCTCTTATCTTGCTGGAATATGTGGTCACTGTTAGTGAAGTGGCATCTGACTCAAGGGTCACACAAAAGAACCTTGACCAACTGATGATTTTCTTTTCTTTTCATATTCTGAGGATTCTCATTGCCTTTTCCTAGGAGGGATGACTTATAGTAATTTTTGTTATTGTCGTTTTTCTTAAGACTGTGGCAGCGCCTAGGGAAGCATACCTTTTCTATGATAGCTTCAGGAGACTCTGAGAACTCTGAACAGGCCAGGTTAAAGGTGCCATGAATATATAATATTCAGATTACAATATGGAAACTAGTTCAAAGAATGAATAGTTGAATAAGTATTAGTGCCTAAGAGGTTGAGATGGGATGTTTTGCGACTACTTTAAAGGGCCTGAGGCTGGTGGGACCCTAGTATTTAGTCTTTCCTTACTCTACAGGATGCAGACTGGGTGGTGGTGAAGGAGCCTGTCATCAAAGTTGCTGCCATAGACAATGGGCTGGCTTTCCCCCTGAAGCATCCTGACTCATGGCGGGCATGTAAGTCTCAAGACCACTGTGGTCTGTCTTTTTTGCTCAGTTTCAGTTTTCTCATCTGTGCGGTGGACATTATACCACCTCAATCTCAGTATTGTTCCAAGAATTAATGAAATAATGCAGTTCATGCACTTTAGCACAGTGGCTGGCCAGAGCAACTACTCCACAGTGTAGTATTTTTTTAGTTATTATCTTTTTATTCTCATTGGGAACATAGATTTGGGTTTTCTCATCTCCATATTACAGTTTTCTTATTCTTAATGAGGCCTGTCTTATAATTTATTCTGTTTGTGTCTCTAAACATAAGAACTGTCAGTGTCCTATTTTCCTCATTGCCATCTTGGAAGCCAGGCACTGCCCTGTTATACTGAGAGACTTTTGGAAATATGGAGAGATATAAGTACTAGCCTGTTTTATTTTTGAAGGAATATCTGACTGTCTCAGTGGCAAGCAATTACTTCTAGATAGGCTTATGTTTTGGAAGGCCACAGAAAGCTTAGGAAAGAGCACAGACTCTGGGATTAGCTAGATCTGAGTTTGCATCCTAATTCCTTCACTTACTATGTTAAATTGAGGGTTAACTGCTCTTGTAAGTTTTCTTCCCTGTTGTATATCAAGGAAGGAGGGATTCTGCCTTTCGCAGTGTTCTGATAGGTCAAGGGATATTTTCATCACCATATTTCCTTTTGGCCTTTCCTCTTTTCAGATCCTTTTTACTGGGCCTGGTTACCCCAGGCAAAAGTCCCATTCTCTCAGGAGATCAAAGATCTGATTCTTCCAAAGATATCGGACCCTAACTTCATCAAGGACTTGGAGGAGGACCTATACGAACTCTTCAAGGTTAGCTGGGGGAACTTCAACCTTATCTCCAAATAGAAGTAGGAATTCCTAATTTTTTTTTGTTTTTTTTTTCCAAAGATTTTATTTATTTATTTGTTTGTTTATTATTTATACAAGCACTGGGTATAGTCAGAAGCACGGGAGGGTGAGAGAATTCACCAGAGCCAGACCGGGGAGCAGAACAGGCAGAAGGACCGAAGTACACTGCTGAGGGGAGCAGCGGGCGGCAGGAGAGGTCTGCGTGCCATGTGGGACCCTCCTCCGGTGGCCGGGGAGCAGCCGGAGATCGAACCTGCGCTGCAGAGGCTGGGGGCAGCTTCGCAACCCAGCGCTTAACTGCTGCGCCACCGGGGAGGCCCCCTAATGTTTTTTTCTAATTGGCCTGATAAAAGCCAAGAGAGAATGGCTAACATTCTTCTGACTTGTGTCTGAATAGCAAGATTCCCACATGTAGACAGACAGCAAGACCTGGTTGGGATTGGTTTGAAAGACATTGGCAGCTGTGATGAATCACACTGGTGTACGTTCTGTGTGTGCACCATGTGACTGCAGTGAATCTTAAAAGCTCTCATTTTCAAATGGAGCATGGGACCTAGAGTTCTTTAGTGTTAATAACGAGACTCGGCACAAGATTATATACTAGTTCTCTATTTTCTGCATCTGTGAAACAAGAAGTTCTTGGAGTGGTAGTAAACTTCAAGTTTTATAAGCCTCTTTTAGGTTTTCTTTATTAAAAAGTTTCTAATCAGGATAGGAAAATGGGTTCCTCTTAGTGGTTCATGCAAGTTCCATCTCCTGTCTTTCTTTTGCAGAAAGATCCTGGTTTTGACAGGGGACAGTTCCACAAGCAGATTGCTGTCATGCGGGGACAGGTAAGCCTGGGACATGTGGTGTTATCCCTGGGATTTCCCTGGGAGGGGTATGTTCAGTAAATATGGTAAGACTTGCATTTTACACTCTATTTAGTTTATATACATATTTGTGACTCTGCTCTAACACATGAGGGAGGAAAGGTAGCCCTCCCCCATCTCCTACTCTTCCATGGTATCCTTGGTATAGCACTTACTGTGTGCTTAGTTCTATGCCAATTACTCGATAGCTCATTGGTAAATTAACCCCGTGGACCCTGTCATCAGGTTGCTCAGGGCAGGATGTACAGCTTGGAGGTTAAGAACTAGCCTCAGGAGTCAGACTGCTTCACTATGTACAAGCCTTTGGCCTTGGACAAGAGCCTTTAATTCCTTGCTTGTAAAATGGAACCATAATAATACATTGCAGAGTTGACTAGAGGATTAATCAGATAATACATGTCAAATATTTGGTGAAAAATGGCACATTGTAAGCACTTAGATATTGACTATGGTTATAATTTTTGCTTTTTTTTTTAAAAAGATTATGCATAGAAGAGCAGGGGTACAGGCCAGAGATGTGGGGTGGGGGGGGGTGTATGTGTGAGAGGACTCACCAGAGACAGAGTGGGGAATAGAATAGGCAGACTGACTGAAATACACTGCTGAGGGGAGCAGCGGGCGAGACAGGTTAGGTCTGCTTCGCCATGTGGGTTGCTCCCTGGCTGGCTGGGGATTGAACTCATGCTGTAGAGGCTACACATTACTTCACAGTGCAGTGCTTAACCCCTGTGCCACCAGGGAGGCCCCATAATTTTTGCTTTTAATAAGTCATATTTCTTTTCCCACTTTACCTTCAAAGAGAGCTAAAGAAACCCCCAGAGCATCATTGACCCTCCAAGGCATAGTAAAAATATGTTTGTAAAATTGTTTAAAAACTCTATAGGGCACTGACATTGTGCTTGGAATTTTGAGGTTTTCTTAATGAGAGCTGGGATGGCCTCTCAGTTAAGGGTATGGCTGTGGTCAGAGTGCCTGGGTTTGAATACTGGCTCTGCCATTTACTAGCTGTGTGGTCTTAGACAAATTACTTAATCTCCCCTTCCCTTAGCTTCTCCATTGCAATATGGTATTAATAACAGCACTTATATCAAGGTTTATCAGTTGGAGTAGTGCCTGGCATATTGAAGTACTCAGTATGTGTTAACTACTTTTGACTGTGATTTTTATGTACAGAAAAGTCAGCTTCTCACATCTTTAAAAAGACAAGGTCTTCCCCATCATAATTATACATTTACTTCTTCCTACCATTTAGCTAAAGACTTCTGGTGAGAGCAATTCTGGGCTTACTGAGCCCATTTTTCCCTGGAAATGGTATAGAGGTTTTAAGAGCTGCAGTTATTATAGCTTCCTGAATACCAGTTATGTGGTCTTCCAACATTTCCCAAGTAAGGTAAGGGCCCAGTTAGGCTGGTAGAATTTTTGGAAACCTTAAAAGCCTTATGATGCACTCTGCTATTATAGAATTCAGCATAAAGGAACAAACTTCTCAAGTTTATGTAGACTGTACCTCTGTCCCTACTATACTGTCTTCTCTAATGCCCTCCCAACTTGGCCCCTTGCTCACATCATAGCAACCCTCCTCCCATTATACCCAGCTAGGGCCATTATCTAGAGCGACAAGGTTGAAGGGGGGATTGGGAGAGTAATTTTATCTTTCTCTCCATTTTGTGCTCTTCATAGCCTTAGAGAGCCTTTGGCATCTTAAACCTAGAGTGCCTCCCACTAAGTACTGCAAGTTACCATGAGCACCCAGCATGTAGATGGCTATTGTATCAGTCATCTCCTTGTTTTACCACTCACACCAAAGCAATCTAAGTCTCTGCTATATAGAAATCCTAGATACTTCTGGGAAGGAAGTTACAGTCTTCTACTTCTGTGAGCCATAATTACAGAGTGAACTGTATGAGGACCCTGGGCATAAGGAGAAGAGGGAAGGGCCCCTCGAGAATTAGAGCTGGGTAATAGATGTAGATACTCACCATGAAGGCTTCTAACCAAGTTAGATAAAGAAAACAAGGTCTGAGGGAAAACTTCTTTATCATTTGTCTCTCTACCTAGATAGATATGTTTTTTTGCAAATTTTTTGAAAGTAAATTACAGATGATTTGACATTCTACCCCAGTTACTTCAGTGTGCATGAGAGGCAGCTTCTGAACCAAAGGAAACACAAGAAGCCCCAACCAGAGCAGGTTTAAGTTGGGCGGTCCGCACAATTTACTCCAGTTCCATTTGAATGGTCTTTTAGCCCTCTGCCCTGGTCTTGTACTCAAGGCTCAGTATAGGTTGCTGACAAGTACCAAAACAATTAGGTAGAGGAGGAACTAGTTTCTGGTAGGATCCAGTTCTGACTTCTGATCCCAGTTGCAGGTGGATCTCTGCCTCTTTATGGGAAGCACTTGTGGGCCAAGTGTATATGTGGTTTAAGGGCAGTATCTGTGACCTTACTGTGAAAATCTTCAACATCTAGTGGTTTAAAGAAGTCTGTCATAGGACAACCTCAGCTTCTATGTTGTCCGACCAGAGAAGATGAGTCGTGGCAATTCTAATTTTGACAAGAAGAGAAAGTGTGTCTCACGGACACCTCTGAAATATCTATATGTAGACAAAAACTGGTAAGGAGCAAATACATTGTGGTAACCTGGATGTAATCCTGGAACAGAAAAACAGTGCTGGAAAAGCTAATAAGCTCTGCATTAAGTCGGGAATTTGGCTAATAATAATGTTCCAATGTTAATTTGTTATTTTTGATAAGTTTAAATTACAAAAGTTATGAGGAGCTAGGTAAATACAGGAGCTCTCTTTACTATCTTTGTAACTTTTCTGTAAATTTAAAATTACTCCAAAGCGAAAGTTTTATTTAAAAAACAAACAACATGATTATGAAGAGACAGCATTTGAGGGAGAATCCAACTCAAATGTTTTGATTTTTTAACACATGGTCTTTGTAGGAAAGCCAGAAAGAAAGGATAAACAACAGTAAGCAAATAAAGATCACCTCTAATTCCTTGACCCAGAGATAATCACTGCTGACTTCCAGACTTTCTCTGGATAGGTAGATAGGAAGATAGGTAGATAGGAAGATAGAATTTTAGAAAATCTAGGTGGATCACATTATAATAATGGTTCCTTATCTTTTTTTTTTTTAAAGATAATTTATGCATACAAGAACTGGGGTGCAGGCCAGAGGTGCGGGGGTGAGAGGATTCACCAGAGACAGAGTGGGGAGTAGAACAGGCAGATCTACTGAAATACACTGCTAAGGGGAGCAGCGGGCGAGACAGGAGAGGTCTGCTGCGCCATGTGGGTCAGCTCCCTGGCCAGCTGGCCAGGGATCGAACTTCTGCTGCAGTACACGGTGATGATCGCTTGATGGCACTTTGTCTTTAATCCCTGCACCACCAGGGAGGCCCCCCCTTATCCCTTTTTCTAATGACACTATGGTCAGCTTTCCACATCAATAAACTATAATTTTTAATTGTTCATTTCTTATCCCTTAAATTATTAAATGAATCCATATTCTTGGACATTTATGTAACTTTCACTGTTATAAATAGTACTGACTCTACTAGTTGAAACTAAGTGTTTTGTGCATATTTGTGATTGTTTCCTTAGTCCTTAAACATGGAATTGCTGATTCAGAGGGCCTATTCATTTTTAAATCTTTTTTGTTCACTTGCCTTTCTGAGGGACTGTCCCCTGAGCCAGCCCCACAGCCATGTCTACACACTCTCTCCAACTCTGAGTCATCGTCATCATCTCTGTCTTTGCTAACTGGAAGGGCAAAAAGAATAGGAGGTTTTTGTTTTAATTTGTACTTTTAAAATAACTAGAGAGGTTTCCATTTTTTGCTTACTGCGCTTTTATATTCTTTAGCCAATTGTACAATTTTCTGTTGCTGTGTTGTTTTTTATTGATTTATAGGAGCATCTGTCTGCTGGTTTCCTTTCAGAGGCAGACCTAGATGCCTAGGCCTTACCCTCACTGATCTCATTTCTCCCACTGCAGATCCTAAACCTGTCCCAGGCCCTGAAAGACAACAAGAGTCCCCTGCACCTCGTCCAGATGCCACCCGTGATTGTTGAGACGGCCCGTTCCCACCAGCGGTCTGCTAGCGAGTCCTACACACAGAGCTTTCAGAGTCGGAAGCCCTTCTTTTCGTGGTGGTAGCCCGCGAGGCAGACAAAGGCATATTGTCTGAGACTTGGCCTGGGAGGAAGCCTGGGGAGTGGATTGCAGGAAAAGCCTAAGAAGCTGGTGGAGAGCAGTGCCCTTCAGAGCCCTCCCTCTCTGCTCGCACCCTCCCTCAGGGCTTTCCCAAGCACTGGGAGAAACACAATCAGAGGGACAGTGCGTGCTTAGGGCCCCTCTGAGTGTTGGGGAAGGCTGGAGCTCCAGGCCAGTAGTCCAGATGCCTGGGAGGAGTACCTCCCTTCTAGCATCTCCTGAGGGCAGGCTGGGAAATTCCCTTCCCTCCCTGACACCCTGCTCTGTTGCAATTCCTCATTATATTCTGCATCAGAAAAAAAAATAATAACAAAAAGAAATTTAAATACTAGTAGCAAAACCCAGGCAGAATCCCCTATCCTCTCTTGTCAGAAACCTCTAACCCAGACTTATATTCGCATGGACCCAGATATTCAGGTGCCTCGCTGTCCTTCACTCCCATGGACCAATGCAGCTGAGTGACTCAGAGGACAACTGGTGACATGAAGTCCTGGGACAGAAAAAGCCACACCTTTCCTTTGGGTTTTTACCAGGTCTCTTCCCCGTCTTCCATCAGTGCAATAGTGAAAGCCTCCAAACACAGTTCTCATGGTGGGGATACTCTAGACCTCCCGGCAGTTCTGCATGTAATTGGATTGGCTCTGCTCTCTGTCCTCTTAGGGAACCAGCCTCCCTAGTCCAGGGCTGTCGCTTGCCTGTCCACTCATGCAAAGGCAGGAGGGAGGAAATTGAGGCCCCAGCTTGCAAAAGTGATTCTGTGGCCTAAGTGTATGCTGGGAGTACAGTTGTTCCAAGGATCAGTGTATCCCAGCCTTGCTTCTGTGGTCCTAGACAAAAGTGATAAGCTCTCCCAGCCCTCTCATTTGTTCCTGTTGTTTTAGAGATCCTTTCCTCCACTCTTGACTTAGGGGATCAATTCTGGGTTCTAAAGTGGGTCTTACCAAGGGCTCTAGGGTGGACATTATCTTAGATCCTTGGACTTGTTTATATCCTACCACTGCAACTTGGTGGAAGTAACAGGACTTATATTCTGCTTCCTAACTGGCGGCTTCCTTTTGCTCCCTGACTTCTTGGTCCAGGCCACTTTTGCAAGGCTTGTTGAGAAAGGCAGGGCCCACAGGAGCGAGACCTTCAGACTGTCCCCCACTGCCTCCCCAGCTCAGTGTGCATCTTCCTGCTCCCCTGGCTCTCTTCCTTCAGCTGTCCCCCTTGCCAGGTGTCCGAGCCCCTGCTACACCAAAGCAAAATATGGCCTCAGGAGGGAGTAGAGAAGATGCTCTTTGAGGATGAGGAGCAGTTGGACACTTTGTTCTGGCACCCTGCGACTGGTCAATCAGTCTTGGAAAGAGACTATCTTGAAGGTTTGAGAAACAACCAAAGAAAGGGAGTGAGGACCATGGCTGTGTGCCCTCTGCTTGCCCAGCTCTTGCCATCCAAGAGTAGAGTAGAGATGCGCAGCCTTCTTGTCAGCTGCGCCAGGTTGGTCCCCTTCTCTTCCAGCCACTTTGTCCTGGGCTTCCACCTGCTGCCAGGAAGCCTCTGGGAGCTGGTTGCACATGCTCTGTGGACAAAGGCACAGCTCCTTATCTGCCCTGCCCTGACAATCCCATTCAGCCAGCTGGGACTCTGGCCTGGGGGACCGGGTTTGTGAGCCGGCCTAGCCCTAGACTGTAGGAGCAACAGGGCTCCCAGAGGCCAGAGGGCACCACGGGTATGTTTAGCTCTCCATAGACAGCTTTACACCAATGTGTTGATAAAGCTCCCCACCTGAGTGTCAGGGGGCCCTAAGGGACCTGGTGGCTTCCCTGAGCCAAGCTGATCTGCACATTGTCCTCATCCAGACCAGCTCTGTGATGGGGAGGAAATTGGATCCCATGTTAGAGGGACCTGGTCCCAGGCCTGGCAGGTGAAAGTGCGGGGCATCCTTCCCTGAACCTTCTCCATTCTCCTTGAAGCCTGTGCTCAGGTTGCCTTGAATGTGGAGAGAACCAGGGGTCCAGAGTCCCAGGGCAGGCTTCTGGGTGACACTTGGCCTGGCCTGGCCCTCTGCCAGCCATAGGCCCTGTCCCCTATGTCAGGGAGAAGAGGCGGGGCTCAGAAAGTGCTGCTGCCTTGGTATTGTTCTAATGCACTGTAGAAATTGTATTTTAATCAATGCAAATGTATGAATAACCAGTCCAGTTCTGACCTCTGTTGTCTAGTTTTCTTTGGTGGGAGGAACACAAGGTAGAATGCAATTTCAAGGACAGAGAACCTTGTGTTTCCATAGGGTTCCAGAGGCTATTTCCCTCTAGCAGAGGGAGATACAGGTTCTCATTTCCAAAGTGCCCAGGCTCTGAAAATCAAAAATATTTTCTAAAACCTGACCTGAACCTACACTGATATGAAACTGTTTGTAATCATCATGTATCCCAATTTGAATATTTGTTGCAGAAATACTCATCTGTTACGAAATATTCCCCTACTTAGGATTATATTGTATTTGTACTGACTACCTCCTCAAAGCCAAAATAATTCTGAGTTCCAAAATTTCTAGCTCCAAGGGTTTGGGATAAGAATGTGGACTGACTTACTTTCTTGGCCACGAGAGGGCAGCCCTGCTCTGTGTGCATCTCTGCCCCTTGGAGCATCGTGGACCACAACTCGATTTGAGCCATGTATAATGAGACCTAGGGTGGGGAGGGCAGCTGAATGTCAACGATCTTCAGGTTATCAGAAAGCTCAGATAACAGAGGAAAGCTCCAGGATGGTCACATGCTGACCACTTCAGTGTGGGTGGCCCAGAGGGATAAAGAAGCAGCTGAGGAGCTGGCAACCACTACTTTGCTGCAGATTCATCTAACCCAGGGACCCACTGCCCACTGTGCAGGTCTTCTCCCTTTAGAGGTGGCCAGGGGCCAAGAGCCCTCTCCTGGCATCAGGACTGCCTACAGGGAAGCTTCCATTTCATATCCCAATCTGATAGCTTTTTTGAAAAAGCCAATGCACAGGGCTCTAGAGGATGGGGCGCGAAAGCATGGAGGCCAGACTTATTTTTCCTCTCTGGGAACACCCTTCCTTGCAGTGAGCTACCCTATCACTCACCCCCCTCCCACACCCTCTTGGGTATCTATTTCAGGATCTGCCCTTTCTGTGACAGACACAGTTCTTGATGCAAATATTTTTATTTTGCCACTTAAACCATAGTTTCCTTGTGCCGGCCTGAGGGGAAGGGGTGGGGAACAGGCTGCTGGACCACTGGGTGACAGTAGTGGGAGGGCTCTATGAGGAGTGGTGCGTGCTCAGGCTGAGTGCTTGACACTTGACTCCAGGGGAATATCATGCAGCCCAGCTATAGTGTTAGATTGGGAAAGGCTGAGCAGGAACAGTGGCCGTTTCCTATTCTGGTGAGGAATGGGTTCCACATAATATGCTGCTCCGTGGAAGCCTCCAGTCCTGTTCATTGCAAGCCAGTAGCAGCGGTCATTGATTTATGCCTCCATCTCTTCTTTACCTCCCCAGGCCCTTTGGCAAAAATTCCTATAATTCCTGGGGAAGATACTGCCATTCTCAGCCACTTGCCTGAATCAGTGTCTGATCTGATGGAGGTAGCTTGTGGGGCCTGGCTTCCTCCAGTTCTGGCGGATCCTGGCACTTGCCCTTCTAGAGTTCAGATACTGGTCACTGGAAGCCATCTCCGTGGCACTGCCCTGTGGTTCAGCCAGTGGAGTACAGGGTTCTGGGGTTCTGCAGGGAACAAATGTGTGATAGGCCAACATCAGCAGGAAGGATGGGAACAGGAATAAAAAGACTTTGGTCATGGTGTGCTATTAAAACTGTTCAGGGCAAAGTGAGCCAGAGTTCTGGTCTTGTCTCTGCCTTCTGAGAGCGACATAACTGGGCAAAGCTTTCAGAGTTCTGTAAGAACTGGACTAGATCAGGGTGTGTAACACTCAACACTGCTCCAACTTCCTCTTCTTATACTCATGGCAAACATTATTAATCAGTCATGATACCAGACTGGAGGAACCAAGTATCTTTAGCAAGGTGTTCACATAGTGATCATTAATTGGAGTTAGCACAAGCCATAAAGCTGATTTGCTACCCCTGGGCCTGATGATCTCAGAAGGCCTATTCAGGTCTAATGATCAAACTGTAGGCCCAGAGAGGGCGGCTAGGGGAAGGCACCCACAGTGATGGTTTTGGCTGTGTGGTTCAGCTCCATCTCTTGGGGATGCTGTTCCAGAACTGACAGAGATCTAAGCAAAGTATGGATTACTAGGGTAAGTTTATAGTTTCTCAGCAATTTTTAGCCCTTGATGCCACTATAGGATTTTCCTGTCTTCTCTGTAATTTCTTAACTAGGAATTTAACTAGGCTTACCTTTGAGTGTCATCTGTTCTACAGCAGGTATATGCAATGTTTTTCTTTCAAACAATACTCACTCCCGCCTAGCTGAGAATCATTGAAAAACGAGGTACACTGATAGACCTGGGCACCCCTCCCCATGGGAGTTCCCAGGATCCCATGACTCCAGTAGTAACAGAAGTCTTAAGTGCCCCCCATGGTAGGCACTGTTTGGGCCACACCGCAGCCCCAATGGTAGGTGCTTTACAGTGAGGCTAGCCCAGTACCTCAGGCCACATAGCCAAGACTGGAGGACTGACTGGGCATTATTAGTGCTGTCTTTCCCTCAGCCCTCCAGATCCAGGAACCTACTTGAGTCGGCTGCAGTGGTGGACAGAGTGGCCCAGAGGCTTCTGTCTTGGGGGCCTTTTCCTGCGCAGCTTCCTCAAGGCCTCTGCTACCCGGTGGTCCCCGGCACACTCCCAGATGATCTGTGCACGTTCCTCAGCCAGCTGGTCTCCACTGCGCTGAAATAGGCCCTGGATCTGCAGCAGTTCAGCGTCCTGGAAGATGTTGGCTGAGGCCTTTTTGCGGCCCCGGGCCTCAGTTGGGGCCTGCCAAGGAGGTGGCTCACTCACTACAGAGGCTGGGGTGCCCATCTTGGTGCTCTGAGGAAGGAAAGCATGGGGAGACATCAGCAAGCTACAAGCCCTTCCCAAATTTGGGGGTTCTGGTGCTTCTATTCTCCAAGAGCCTAAAGGAGAGTAAAGTCTTGACTTAAAATCAATAATTTCCCTGGGCACCTTGAGGAAATAATAATATGAAGTGTTTAAGTGTTCAACACGTGTATTAAGAGCCTGTGAGGTAAGAAGGGTTTAGCCTCACTTTACAGATGAAGACATTCCACTCAAAGAGGTTAAATGACTTTCCCACTGTCACAAAGTCATGTGGGCATGCACAGCTGGCAG